AAAAAAAACGTAGCTTGATTCTCGATAACGGCAGTTTTTCCGGTGCATAATTCGGACAAATTGGGGGATCATAATTTTATTGCGGACGTATAAACTAAAGTCCAGAAGCCATATGACTAATCCGAACTATTCTAATAAATTAATTGATAATAATGATGAATAACCTATAAAAAAACACAAAAACAAATAAACAAATATACAAACACAACAAATAACAAGTAAACTACTATATAGCTTTAGTAAAATACGATAAATTCAAACATAGCCAGTATTGGTAATAATGTACAAAGTGAGCTAGTGATATCTCAAGTTTTCCTAGAAGATCCAGACTTGAAATCAGGCTTGAAGTCAGGCTTTTTGTTGTTACCACTTTTCTTGATTTGGAATTTGGTGACCAAAGGAATGTGATCAGATGGGAAATGAGCGTTAGGGAAGCCAATACAATGACTTGCATATTCTTCGTCAATTTTTCCCAATAACCCTTTAACTTGCAAAGTAGAAGTCGAATACCAAATGTAGTCAATAGCATCGGTAAATGCGGGTGAAATTGTAGTGAATGGTAGTTCACCTACGTGATCATATGCTGACTTCAACTTGAACAGGTGACGGAAACCTTCATCTGTAAACTTACCATAATCACGACCCTCTAAATCCTCGTGGTTGGATACGGCACCAGTCGAAAACAATTGATAAACAGCGTTTTCCTTTGTGGAGTTAAAATCACCACATATAACCATTGAAGCATTCTTAATTTCGTCAATAGAATTCGTATGGTGATATTTCTTCATAATAGTACGTAATTCTTCTAACAAAATTCCAACTTGTAAAGTCTTAACATCATTAAAAGCCGGATCCCAATGCAAATGCGTATTAACAACCAAAATCTTTTCTCCAGTTTGAATATGATTAAAGTACGTGATTAAAGCAACATTATCCTTATTCATAAATCTATTAAATAAATCCTTGGTTTTCTTATATTTATCAGATCCCATGCAAACACTGTTATATTCAAAGTTTTGCTTGTGAAGTAACTCAAATTTATCAGTCTTATAGAAAGTGGCACAACCATCAACCTTCTTTGAGTCAGATTCACTCATAGTTTTAGCTCTAGTCTTATTAAAGAAAACACCTTTATAACCAAATCCCTGCATGACTGGAACCCAAAATTCATGGAACGTCCTGGTTTCAACTTCTTGCATACAAACCAAATCACTCTTGAAATGTAATATTTCTTCTTGCAAAGCAGCTCTTCTAAAGCCCCATTCCAAAGCCCACGAAGGAGTATATTTATACATTTTTGTAGTAGCATAATGCTGACACAAGGTGTTATATGACATCATTGTGAAAGTATCACTAGTATCAGAATTATTGTTGTCGTTAGTATAAGCATCTGGGTTACTTATAGGATCAATGATTTCTCCATCCTCCTCCAACAATAACCATTGTCTTGGAGGCGGCTTACTGAAAGTTGGCTTCAAATCTCTTAAATAAGCGATCAACTCTTTAGTTCCCTTTTCCGCAACTAAATTTGCAATTTTTAGATCTATTGGATTGCCTTCTATACCTAAAAATAATAACTCAATTAAATTACCGAATTCATTAGGTAAAATTTTGATATTATTATCAAATAAATAAAGATACCGTAAGTTGAAGCACATTCCTAATTCTGGTGGAACCTCACTAATTCTATTGTGAGATAAATCTAAGGTTCTCAAACTTCTTAATTTATTAACTATTGGGGGAACGCTAGTTAATTTATTATTATTCAAATAAAGCGATTCCAAAAAATCATACTGAAACAATTTAGGTGATAAATTGACCAAGCCTTGACCACTTAAGTCTAATTGACACCATAACTGTCTTCCTTGAGTCTTTTGTCTCATTCTTTGTTCTTCCTGTAAATGGTCATCATCCAAATCCTGTGCTAATTTCTTATTATGCAATAATGCAGAGTTAGTAGCAGACCCAGGGTTGGATTTAGCGTTCTCTTGTTCATTCAAAGTAGAAACTATTGATCTTGTGGCGTCTATTAAACTTACTGATTTGACTTCACTATATGGATTTTTATTCTTTCTGGAGTTTGCAGCATATTGTCTAGCGTAGTAATGAGGAATGTTTGCATTTCTAGACAATTGGCATAATTGTTGCTGGTGTTGCCAGTATATGGAATTTGGATTCTCTATGTTAATGGAATTGAGTTTTTGGGCCGGTTGTTGTTGTTGTTGCTGCTGTTGTTGTAAAGCAGCTGCTTGCTGGTTGAAAAATTGTTGCTGTTGTTGTATATGAGGTGGTTGGTGTGGTACCTGCTGACCTTGAGATTGCTGGTATTGCTGAGGAAGATGCAATTGTGGCTGTTGCAGCTGTTGCTGTTGCTGCTGCTGCTGTTGTTGTTGTTGCTGCTGCTGATATTGTTGCAACAGCAGTGCTTGTGGTTGGTTTTGCTGTTGCAGCAGGAATTGTTGGGGGAAAAATTGTTGCTGTTGGTGGAGATTCTGCAATTGGGGCGGCTGTTGTGCTTGCACCGGTCTTTGGTAGTTATTTTGGTAAAGGCTTTGTTGCGCTATGTTATCATTATAGATATCTTGCTGGGAGAACTGGCCCGCCCCACCACTACCACCTATGGATGGCTGCAGCTGCTGTGACTGTCCTTGCTGTAATTGTTGTAGTAAGATCTGTTGTGCTTGCAAGTTAGGCTGTTGTCCTTGAACTTGCGCCTGTTGATATTTTGGAATATTCATCTATGGCTGTAATCACACTTAGTTATTTATTTATTTTTCGAAAAATGGTCTTACTATTTCCATCTAAAACAGGACTATGAATGCGTTTATAATATATCGATACTTCTTTAAAATTCGTTTGGTGGATCTCAATCAAAATTTCTCAATAGATATAACAATTATAGAAAATAATAACTCTAATAAAGCAAATTCTTATGGATTCCTTTAATTCAAAAATCGAACCACCTTGTTAATTGCCTATTTGATCTTGTATACCGATTGATTGTAATATCTATTAGTACTATATACATTGAATCTTAAGAGTGGATGAGGTTTTTTAATGGTCAACAGTTTTTGCCTAAATACACGACCAATACTTTAGTTACGATGTACACGTCTTATCTAAAGGTATGCTAGTTCAGTTACTAATGGAATATGATCAGACGGAAACTGGCTATTGGGGAAACCAACCACACCAGTTTCCGTGTAATAAGATTGTTCGACTTCTCCAAGTAATTTTGTGACTTTGAAGTGGTTTTTGGAGTACCAAATATGATCCACAACGTCGAACAAGCTTTTTGTAAACGATGTAAATTCTAATCTCTTTTTTAGAGAACTATGTGAATGGAGAAGAAGCAGCTCATATGCACAGGCTAGATGGAATGGGTTTTTAATAGCTCTATCCTGGAACAATTCGCTGTTTGCTTTATAGTTGTAGTCGTAAAGGGCGAACTCGTTGCACTTGGCTGCATCGATTTTGCCGGTGTTGAGCAATTGGAATACCTTTGAAGAAGGATTTGAATTGAAGTCACCACACATGATAATACATGGATCATCTAAGCAATCCTTGCCTATGAAATCACGCAACACATTCAAGAGGAGTTTCGTCTGGATGATTTTGACATCGTTAAATTTTGGGGACCAGTAGAGGTGTGTGTTTGTCACATACAATATCTTACCGTTTCGTTTATCACACAACTTGACTAGAAGTGCCACAGTATTGCGTGGTATGACCCGTTCGATGGTAGCTCTTGTGACATTGAATTTGGTATGATGCTGCATGATGTACTCCCCGAAATTGATCTTTTGACTGTCCAACACATCAAATTTGTCCCCATTGACAAATATCCCAACACCATCGATGTTCTCCGAAGGCCTATCTCCCCAGTAGACAGGCTCCAGTTTTCTTGCGTAAAAGGAACGATACTTCGAGGACGGAAAGTCTTTGGACCAGAATTTTTTGTATATTAGGTGCTCCATTTCCTGGAAACACATGATATCACAATTGAACTGTCTGATAATCAAATTGATTAACGGAAATCGATAATCAGACCAGCTTAGATACTCCTGTTCCAAATATCCAAAGACTGGCTTCCACATGTAATGACGAGAGAGTAAATTGAAAGACATCACAGATACTTTTTGTTTTTTACAGGTTTCGGGGTCTTCAAAATGGTGCCAGTTTCGGTACTTAGAAGCGTCATAATTCAGGGGTATTCTCATTTTTGAATACAATCGTCTACCAATGCATAAGATATCCTGTTTACCATTTCTTGATATTAACTTGTCCATGCTCCTGATCCAATAGGGTATATAGTACAGTCGTTTTCGAATCCAAATACATGGGACATAATGATCGGAGTTACGTGCAGGAGATAAACACATAGATAAGAATAAGCTCATCGAGTATTTGGATTTACAGTATTTGATACCAACTGTGGACTCTGAACCACATTATCAGAATATGCTTACATTGAGTATTGTACGTACAAAGGTTTTTAATAATTATGGTTAATTTATATAATACTCTTGAAACTTGTAGTTAACTTTTGAGGTCCATATATTTTGGGATGAAGCCATCCTAGACAAGATCTTCTATTTCAGTGATTAACTCCGTGAGGTTTCCTCTTCCCTTTAATAATTTTTCCCGTCTTGCGTCGGTTATAGGCGCATTAACTAGCTTTTTGTTGGCACCTTTACACAATTTCTTGATACCCAAGGTGCAAATATCGCAGTTCGAAGCTTTGGGGACACAAATAACTTGACCAAAGCCCACTAGAAGTGGGTTTATATCACTCCAAAACTTCTTTGGCAACCATCTTTCTAGTTCAGCTCTAGTTAGTTCCGGTTTGTCAGATTTTGGTACCCATCCCCACATCTGGGCAAGTCTATGGATATGAACATCGACACCTATACCGTCGTTGATATTCCAGCCTCTTTGTAACAACAAGAATCCCATCTTTGGTCCAACGCCAGGTAAAGTGACTATATCATTAATAGTCTTCGGTATATCGTTGTCGAAATTGTCCTGGAGAATTGCACACGCTCTTTTAATGTATACAGCCTTTTTTCTATGGAATCCCACCTTCAGGATAAATGCATCGATTTCACTCTCTGATAGTGTGACTATTGACTCGAGAGAGAGCCCATCCTTATGTCCTCGAGCTATTAGACCACTGTGAAGACTTCGCATGGCCTGGAAATTGACTTCATCCTTAGTTTGGGACGATAACATCAATGAAATTAAAAGTTGAAACCGAAATACTCGTGGATTTGTCTTTGAAACATTTGGGCTTATTCCTTCTGGAATTCTTTCACACCCCATCGTGTCTACCGGAGAGAGAAATTTTGATCTCATGACTACAAGTTCGTTATATATTTCGGACCATTTTGTTGGAGCTTTACATGTAGGCGGTATCAATTCAACATCAGTACTGGTAACCTTAGCAAATATATTGGGCCTCTTTTCTTCGATTTCTACTTTTAAATGTTTTTTTGTATCTGGAATCGAATCAGGCTCTTGTTTAATGCTTGGAGTTATGATTGTTTCTTCGATTAAAGAAGAGTCCTCTGTTTTAATCCTTTTGCTTAATACGGCAGTTCCATCACTTTCCAGTATTCTCTTTGATTTCTCCACTGTCATCTATTACCTGGTATAATTTTTACTAGGTTTATATTGGGCTGATCGCGTGAGTTTTTAAACCCGAGGTTTTATCTGGGGATTTTTCGCAGACTCATGATGACTCAATATGGATTTTGCATGAATTGTCTTGGTTAGTGTAAAATTTGAAGGTAACATAATCCGTATTCTTTCTAGATAAACTCGTGGTATACTATTAAGAAGTTTATGAATGAATAATCTATTGAGCTATGCTGCAGAATTCAAATATGGAAACCAAATCGGATGTTTCTACTCAATCTAAAAATCGAACTAAAGCAAAGGTAAAAAGTAGATCAAATGGTACAACTACAAATACCAAAACAATTAAAACGCCAGGTACTAGGGTTGAAAGAGTAGCTCAGGCATGTGACAGATGTCGTGCAAAGAAGACTAAGTGTGATGGTAAAGTACCAACTTGTTCGAGTTGTGCAGCAGTCGGGTTTAAATGTATTGTGTCTGATAAACTATCAAGAAGGGCATTTCCCAAGGGTTATACCGAAACATTGGAGGAAAGAATTCGCCAACTTGAAATAGAGAACAAAAAGTTGGTTGGAATCCTCGATTTACGAGATGAACAGCTTGATATGCTAAATACTAGAATGAATGGTCAAGATTCTAGTTTTGACGATATACGATCGAATGGTTCAATAAAGGACAACGACATGCAGCCAGTTACATATTCGAACTTGTCTCTTTTGGATAAGCAACACACGGAAAGGCTTCACGAGCACGATGATGGCTGTCCTTGTGGCTGTTCGAACTCTCCCCATTCGATGCATGAGAGACCGGTTTCTATTGCAGGATCAATATATGATACGAATACTGGCCAGGTATCTGTTCCAGGATCTATTAACTTAAGTGATGATGACGATAATGAGAGTATTCTCAGTGGTAGCGATATACTGCTGATTTATTCTCTGAATAATAAAATGCTACTAAATGCCAATATTGCGAACTTAACTAGGGCAGGCCATAATATTGGGGGTGAAGCTAATCCAGCACCAGGTGCATTCGCCGCTGCAACGGCGATTGCACAGATGCAAAAAGATCAACCTTTATCTCATCAACAGCAATTAGAGCATAAAGAACGAAGCAAAAAGCAAATGCTAACATCCTTAGTGGCAATGTCAATTCCAAGAAGTACTGAGGAAACTTTATTTATTCCTACCCTTTTATCTAAAATTTGCCAGGTTCATGGATATGATTCAAAACCAGCAATACTAACCGCAAATGCTATAGCTTCATTAAAAGAAAATACCAATGAGGCTATGATAAATGATTCATCTTCTGAAGGGAGAAACGATGAAATTCTACTTAAACTAATAATGAATAGGTCAAATTTACAAAAATTACCAGAATCGGAAGCCATTTACTTCATTAGGAACTTGGTTAGTTTACCAAATTCCAGAATAGATTTGGATCATTTGATAACTGTTTATTTTCAAGATTGGGGAAATGCGTTTCCAATAATTGATAAGAACTCTTTTTTAAAAAAATATGTGAAATTTACTGAGTTATTGGAACTGGGGCTGACTGACTCTTTTTCCAACGATGTGTCTTCAGAGCCAATCGAGAAGTTTGCGGTGCTTATGATATTAATTTTGAGTTTAAGTTTATTGTCTAATAAGCATAGTCATATGTCATCTAAAAGTAATATAGATCTGCATGATATTGCTAAGAAATATGTATCTTCTTTGAATCATTATGACTATCTTATTCACCAGTTCATAAATCCAAATTGTATAATGACGAAGTATTGCTCCATTCAATCTCTTCAAATCCTATCCCTAGCATTGCAATATTGTCTTGTTATTGGTGATATTACAACCTGTTATGAATTAAGATGTAGGGTTATCACAATGGCACAGCAGTTAAGATTACATAGATGCCCTGCCGCAGTGTTGGGTGTAACAGGGAATAACGGTGGAAGTGTTCATTTACAGAATTTCATGCAGGGTGAAAGACGTATTTTATTCTGGTGTATTTATTGCCTCGATATTTATTCATCTTTAAGTTTAGGAGTTCCAAGGTTATTGAAAGATTTTGAAATTGAATGTGCATTACCTTTTGCTGGGAAAAATGATGACGATAATGACGATAATGAAAATATTTTGATTGTAAACAATACCAAGTTATCTATTGTTGGTAAGGTTTCTAAATTTGCTTTAAGTGTTATGTTGTATTGTAAAGTCCTAGGTAGAATTTTGGATTCTATATTTGCAAGATTTGAAAATATAGATGGACAGAATAAAGCTTTGGATCAAGAACGTATGCTTGATTGTTGGAGAAGGGAGTTACCTGTTGATTTGAAATTTGAAATTGATGTTAACGGGTTTTCATTAGCAGATAGTGACTCTTCAAATGAAGTAGAAAACAGTACTTGGAAGAACTATAGTAAACAACAATTAACCCTAATTTTCCTTTATTATCATGCAAAATTTTTGATGTACTTACCAATAATATCAAAGTACGGTAACCACTATAATGTAGGGTTACTGCAAAAAGAACAATTAACAAAAGAGAAAGGGGATGTCGGGGCAATTGTTTCAAGTGTCAGCATGATTCAGCAATCATCCACAAGGATTCTTGAAGTATTGAAGAGTTTATCCAAATATTCATCTTCTTACGTTTTACCCATTCCTATTAATATTTCGAGGCAACAAGCAAGATTTGCACTTTTAGTAGCTAAGGGAAGCCTTGACTATATAAAGGGAGGTCCATTATACCAAAATCTGAAAGCCTTGCTATTAGATACGATTGCCTATTTATCAGCGGAAACTAATCACGAAATACCTGGAGGATTGACGAAGAATTCCGTCAAACTTTTAGAGTTCGCTATTTTAAGTATTTTTGGCTTGAATTTGAATAAGACCCCACAAAATATTAAGAAAAAGCCAAATCTTTCTAATGTTCCTATAACGAAAATGGCAGTTGCAAGGGAACCTGTATCACAACCTGATACTTATAACAATAGTTTTATTCGACCTAAACACATTTCTTCGAAGACTCCTTCCCCAAATGTGTTTGATAAGAATACTTCGCCACAAGATAATAATAATAATATTAGTATTACGAAGAATGAAGATGAAATTTCAATTCAACAACAAGAATACGGAAGCTATTTTAGTCCTTTGGACCCAGAAGGCTCACAAAATAATACTAACGGCTTATTTAATGACGATGGTCATGAAAACCTTGAAAGTATACTAAAGTTCGATCCTTTCAAGGTTACTTTGAACAGTCAATTGATGATGAATGAATTTGCAGCCGATGGATCTTTAGGTTTGGTACCTTTTTTGGATATGAGCAATTCTACGATTGGAGATGAAGTTTCACTGTCATATGATGAGTCTTCACAGGTGAAATTAGAAAGCCTGGACCCCAAACTTTCGGATAACCAGTATTCTAGCTTCTTTCAATGGCCATAGTTTAGCCATTTAAAAGTCGTATATAATTTTTGTTTCCGACTCCGGATCCGCAATTATTTTAATTCCAATTTTAGATGGCTAAAAGTTGGGGAAACATAGATAAAGAATGTATATATAAACATATATAAATGCCTGAATTTTCTAGTGTAAATTATAAAAGTGATTCAAGAGAATAAAAATACATTAATCACTATGGCTACCTTTTCGAAAGTAAATTTTAAAACAGTTAATTATAACTCGTTTCGCCCTCATTACCCTAGCACTTTCTACAAGATATTAAGTACGTACGCTACTGAAGGTAACGAAACTAGACTTCCATTGAAAAAAGCTCTAGATTTAGGTTGTGGGACAGGAGTAGCTACGTATTCTTTGCTCAACTTCGTCGATGATGTTACGGGGGTCGATGTTTCCCCGCTGATGATTGAAACAGCCAAGTCTATGATTCCTCAAAGATGTGAACAGATGAATGTGAATGACACATCAAGGATTAAATTCAAGACTGGTTCTGCAGAATCCTTTGTGAACCTGGAAACTAAAGGTATCGAGAACAATAGTATTGATTTGATAGTTGCAGCTCAATGTATCCATTGGTTTCAAGATTACAGTAAATTTTATAAGAGTTGCGCTTCGTTATTAAAACAAGGGGGAACTTTGGCATACTGGTACTATGTGGACCCTATCGTTATTGATTTTCAGGGGCCTTCAAAGGGAGAAAAGAAAGACGTATTAAAAAAGGCCTTCCAAATTTACAACAAATACGTTTACGACGATCCAAACTATATCGGACCACATTGGGAACAACCAGGAAGAAATATTATCAAGAATCTCTGCGTTGAAGTAAATGAACCTATTCCTAGAGATTTATACTCTGATATTAAAATCCAGACGTACGTTCCTGACTTTGATGGAAATATCAAGCCTACAGAGGAAGACCTTGTATTGGAAAAGCTGAATATGCTGATCAATGATTTTATTGATTATCTCCATACTTACAGTGGTTTCCATAACTATAAGGAAGCTACTGGTGACAAGGATGATTTAGTAGAATTATTTCTTAACGAATGTGAAACAGAGCTTGGTTGGGAGAGAGAAAAAACCAGGATAGATATTGTCTGGCGGACGGGTTACACTTTCATGAAGAAGAAATAGTATTTAATCTAAGTAACATTTAAATATTTTACGTATAAATTTGTAAGACAGTAAATACACGCGATAATGTACTTGTGAGAATCAAAAAAGTAATACTCAGCTTTGTTCTTTTTCCAATTTAATCATTCACATTAAATGAACACCAGCCATGTTGGCTAGAATATGGACATTTGTATTGAGAGTAATTAGCGTTTCCTTTTTTCTTTGGATAATCTTGTCTACTGCGGTACCTCAAATTATAGCTAAATATAGCCTTTCTAACGGTTCTGAGAATGTTTATTGTCCCTATAATTCGATAACATCTCCTTCACCTTTGCCAATACGTGATGCTAATGTATATTTCATAATTGGACACCCTGATGATGAGGTGATGTTCTTTTCGCCAACATTAATAGAGCTAAATAAAAAAGAACATAATAATAAAGTGAAATTGATCTGCTTCTCGAATGGTGATGCAGTCCATGAATCTATGGGTAAGGTACGAACAGAAGAATTATACAAATCAGGAAGTATATTAGGCCTCAAAGAAAACGATATAAAAGTACTTGATAAATTTAAAGATGGTATGGATGAAAAATGGGATACGGATACTATTCAAAAGACATTGGAAGAAATGGTTGGCAAGAAATCGAAGGGTCCATTGGTATTAATTACATTTGATGAAAATGGAGTATCGAAACACCCTAATCACATTTCTCTTTATCATGGTACCAAGAAGTTTTACCAAACTTATTACTGCAAGACTGGCCGCAATGGTAAATTCTATGTTTTAAAGACCTTAAATTTTTGGGAGAAGTATTCCTTTAACATATTAACTAACGTGGAATTGTTCGTAGATCACTTATCTAAATTGCTAATTAGCAATGTTTTGAAGATCAAGGTGAATATTAGTTTTTTCAATAATAAAACTAGAAATCAGTCTATTAAGATATATTCTGATTTGAATATGCTCAGCGTTAGTTATGCTGCTATGTCATATGGTCATTATTCACAGATGGTTTGGTTTAGATATGGATGGTTAATTTTAAGTAGATACTTGACTTTCAATCATTTAATCGAGATTAATTAGCATAAATATGTACAATACATAACTATTAAAAGCAGCTATAAGTTTTTGAAGCCAAATTGTTTTTGACACCAGTTAGATCCATGCTCAAAATAGTCCTTTTTAGATATACTTATTTTCTTAATGATTTCATCATTTGTCAATTGAGCACCACCATACCAACTTGCTTCATCTGGATTATGTTCTGTCTCTTTTACTTTTACATGCCAATCTATTGGTAATTCTTTGACTAATTCATTTCTTAGACGATCAGTGAACCCAGACAAGTTTGTATTACCCCCTACAGTTATTATATTTCCCAGCAATAACGGCTGTGTCACTTTAGGACATGTCATGATAGACTCCACCACTAAATCGGTTATATTTTTGAAAGATGCATTTTGGATTGTAGAAGTACTTGACGTAGTGTTGTCGAATATAATTTCCGGATGGTAAAATGATTCTGGTATTGTAAACCTCTCGTCTATAAGTGCAAGAGATTGAACATCACCAGTAGTATCGACAGGGGTATCCTTAGTTCTAACAAAACCAGTGGTAGTAGTTTTGAAATCTGGTAAAATAAATTCACATTTGTACTTCTTCCTATTTGCTAGAGATTTTTCAAAATCGGTTGCCATAAAGCATGTTTTCTCTTTAATGGTATTTATTAGGACAGGTTCGTCTGCTATATCGTAATGACGAAAAGATATTATTTCTCGAAGTAGCCCATTGAGTGAAGCACCACCAATGGGTAATTTCTTTACTCCTTTCCAGTATACATTTTGATAAATTATCGGCACAATCCAGGTACCACTATACCCAGAATCCACTACGAGGGTGAAATCATTATTACTATTTTCAGATGAACCTAAGTTTCCCCAAGGAACCAAAGATGCAGGTGCACATCGATAGTACTCATTGAAGCCATATTCTTCGAATACAATTTGGTCGGTATTCATCGACAACTGAGGTAACTGAAATGGCGTTTCTGTCAACGTCAAATGTGTAATGGATGTATCTAATTCCTGATTTGGAGAGGCTTTATTGAATGTATAATCCCAAACAGCTTTCTCTGTTTCCCATGATATTAAATGTCCATGGTCATACGGTCTCTTGAATATCATTCCTGAATAATTATTCGTCTGAACCAAATATTCGTTACCCACATATATAAGGCCATCTCTCGCCTTACTCAACGTATTTTGATGTTTTATTGGAGAATTCTGACTATTAAACCCAGCTTTGATATTATAACTTCCATTATCTATTACGAAGTATTGTTGTGACATGCTATACACGAATGAATTAGGTCTGTTTCTGCTATTTGTATCAACTGAGCTTATAATATTCAAAAACCGGAATGTCCCATTTCCGAACGTCAGACCGGAATAAATATTGATAACATATCCATCGATAATTTAATAACCCTATCATTTGCAGAAATTACAACATTATCATAACGACAACATAAGACGAGGCAATAGCGTGTTCGTTCATATACAAATTGTTTACTAAAAGTAAGAAGGTAATATCCAACGATTTTGCGCCACAAAATTTTGTTTACGAACTGCCACATATCTCAGGAAAGACTTGATTAAATTTTGTATTCGTAAAAAATACCTAATAGAAGGATCCCACAAGAAGTTATATTGACACTGATAGCTACAATTAATAACTCTGAGTATTTATTGTGTTTGAGCTAGGTATAGAAAAGTGCGTTAAAGTATAAATTGAGTTATAGAGGAGTTGACGGTAGTCAGTAAGTGCTTATTCAAATGGCAATCCTTTCTCGTGTTTTGCACCATAATACAGAAAAATTAAACGAAAAGCCATCATTAAAACATACACTCAGTAGCAATGGATCGTTGAATTCATCTAAGAGTAATGGAACACATCACACAGTGACACTATCAATTGCATTAGAATCCCCACCTGTCATATTGTACGGTCCACCGCAAGACTCTAGTGGTTCAATTATCTCTGGTTTACTTAAAATAGATATAAAGGATACTAGGAGCCTGAAGAATCTAGAATTATCACTGGTGTCTTCGCATTCGTCAATTACTTCATCATGTTCTCATAGCGATGAGGTGGATATAGAGAGCATCACACTATCCTTAATCCAAACTGTGAGATATACTAAACCATTTTTAATTCCATCGTCTTCGGTAGCGAGCTGCAAAGATTGCTGCACCAAGAAGAATGTGATTGCAAAATGGGACGTACTCATTTCAAGATCTTCATTTTCTGTTGGAACTCATGCTTATCCGTTTTCACATTTATTGCCAGGGTCTTTACCAGCATCTTCTAAATTGGGATCTACTTATGCCAATTCGTTTATTAAATATAACTTAATTGCTACAGCTAAGAGACCTAACATTTTGAAAGAAGTAAAGGTAATTTTACCTTTGAATATAGCAAGACTGATTCTTAGGGGACCAGACCGTAATTCATTGAGGGTATTTCCACCTACAGAGGCAACAGCGAGTGTAATTTTACCTAATGTGATTTATCCAAAATCAAATTTTACATTACAGTTAAGATTGGATAATATTGTAAATATGAATAATGATCGACGTTGGAGGATGCGTAAAGTGGTTTGGAGAATTGAAGAACATACCAAGGTAAAGGCAACCACATGCAAAAAGCATGAACCTAAATTGAAGCAAATCGAGGAATCACAACGTAAGACAGAAGAAACGAAGGAAATCAGATTGAAAAGTGTTCCAGGTGGTACACATAACCCAAATACCGCACACGGACCTAATAAAGCAGCTAATCTACATCATAGCACAATTCAAACAAACATGTTTATCTCCACTTGCCCCAGCGCTCAGACTAATAGTTCTTTGCATGCTTCGAATAACATAGAAGGGATCAATGGAGCCCCCGTAGTCACAGAAGAAAATGCACCAGTAGACGAAGAGAATGATCTTACAAACACTAATGAAAATTTGATTGAGGAGTTTTTGTCGCCAGTCCAAAGCACATCGAATAACGATAATAATGAATTATCCGCTTTACCATCTGGTATTGCACATGGACATAACCAGAATATGTTTCAAGATAATTATCAAAATAGCCGTCCAGAGTCTTTGGAAGATACAGAGAGCTTATATTTAGACGAAATCCGAACGACTACGTATGGCGAAATTAAATCAGGATGGAAAACAGATTTTAGTGGCCGTGGAAACATCGAATTAGTAACCGATATTGATGCGTTCGACTTTTCGACAGGATTAAATAGGCATATCACCAAAAGATCCAGTGATGAACCCAAGATTGACGAGGCACAAGAGGGATTACGGAATGGTGCAAACATATCGTGTGACATAGATGATCCGACATTGGGAATATATGTAAACCACACCTTAATCGTCGAGGCAATAGTGGCGGAAGAAGTAGTCCCACATTCACCAGATAAGAAATCGAATAATATTAAGCATGTTTCTTCATCTTTAAGTCCAGTATCATCCAATTCCTCCGCTGGCAAACAGAAAATGAATTCTACACCAAATAAACAAAAGAAATCCCCGGGCGTGAGTCAGCCGGGAGTTGCAACTGGAGCTGCAAGGGTTTTAAGAATGCAATTTAAAGTAACTTTAACAGAACGCTCAGGTTTAGGTATTGCATGGGATGACGAAGTACCTCCAACCTATGAAGATGTCAGAGCATTCAGTCCACCTACATATGCCGAGACATCTGCATCCGCAACACCAGTGACCACCCCAGCATCTACTGTGGCCACTCCTCAATTGAATGCCACCAGATCGGTTTCTGCAGAAGGATTGGGTGGAACACCTTCACAAGCATTTTTTAACTTAGGAACTAGATCAACTTCAAATAGCTTAACCATAGATGGACTTGTCGATCTTGATGAAAGAATACAGGATCTTACGATCTAGATTGGAAATATAGTGAACTATATATGCGCTAATATACACCATATTAATCAATAACCTTTGCATCAATTTACATACTGAATAGCAATCTCTTTGGGTAGTTTATTTAATAATATGTACAAGTAAGCTCAAGAAATTAAGATATAGAAGACTCACTTATAGAGTCAAGGAGTAGAATTCTACTTACGAAGCACTATCTATCGTAATTAATAGTAGTATAATCAAGGCAAGCGGCTTCATTCAATCTGATAACTTTAGGTCACATGACTGGGATATTGATTTGTTAATTTTCTGCTTCCATTTGGGAGTGGTAAATGATGGGTTGTGATCATCCATTGAAAGCTTATAATTACAAGTGATTATATACGATCAAGAAGCATATAACTCTTGAATACGTGGTGTTTAGGAATAAGTCGCAAAAAACCATTTCATTATGACAAATAGGACGAATTCCGACACCAATAAGAATCACCCTACGTTTTACGTGAACGACGATGAAGTGACTTTTGAAAATGATAGAAAACAGCAAAGCATTGAGGGTGATCAGAGTGATATAAAGATTCCAAAAAGACAAGATAAGACTTACATTAAGCCTCAGGGTAGTAATAATAAGCAAAATTTAATTATAGCTACCGATCAAAACTATGTACAACCACTGAGCCCTAACACATCCACAGCGGAAACAACTGTTTTATTGTCGACCAAAGAACAGTTCAGCAGCATTAGTGATATATTAAGGTTCCCTATTGAATCATCACACGCATATTCATACGCTCATTTATCCCCAAATTCGTTAGCATTGAGGTTGAATGTATTGAAAAGGTCATTGGAGATCCTAAAAGATAGACCAGGTTTACTTAAGTTCATGAACCTAGGGACAGATAACCAGTTTGGAAAAGGGCCATTTAAGCTTGAGAGGCCAAAAATTCCGAACTTTGGAAATAGGATATACAGCAATCCACATGCCAGTAATAGTTCAGAATTTTTCAATAACAGCGATAGATACAAAATTCAGTCAAATGCATCATCCGCAGCATTATCGGAATTATTTAGGCCATCCATGAAAAGATCCGACAGCTTACCTGTAAATCAAATTTATGCTACAAAAGCCGATTCATCAAATGATGCAACTAATCAATCCAAATTGAGTATTGGTGGGCTGAAGGATCCTATAATTAACGGTGATTTTAAAGATATCATAACATTATTAGAGAATGATAACGAAGCCTTGACAAAACAAAGTTTCGATACTTCCGCTTTGCATGATTTATCACAAACTCCTTCCAAAGACGGTCAGAAGCTAAAAAAGGATCTATTAAAAAATAAATTATTATATGCATTGGCAACTCCGTTTGTTGAAAATTCGTCTTCATTATTAGGGGAGCAGTATAGTTTACTTGCTCCACAGTTTAGTGCATCATCTGCGTCTTTAAGCTCATTAGCTAAAGTTCCATCAACCCCAACGACAAGTAATACCGCAAATAGTAATTCAAGACCATTTCATTCAATTTCCCTGGGAAAGCATGCATTACCACAATCAATTTTTACAGTTGAAACGGACAGTCCATGGTCAGTGAAAGCGGCCAATGATTTGGCGTTATTAATGTTTGGAATTCTGAAAAATATGATAAAGTCATTGAATTTGATGGACTTAATAGCTCCTCAGTTTAGAGAATTTGTTGCGGATAAATTGACAAAATCAATGGCGGATGATATTTTGACAGATTCTAAACACGAAAAAGGAGGCAACGGTCGTGATACACGGGACATCATGTTTGCAGGTGAAATTGTCGCTATTATGAGACCCGGCGATAAAGATTTTGCGTGGACTTCGGTTTGGGCTAAGAAGAGAGGAAATCTTATATTTTGTATGTTTGAACAAATTCCTTGCGATGCATTCGATGTTGTAATCCTGTCCGATAAGGTTAAAGATGAGGGTTACAAAATTGCTTCTATTAATGAGGTTGCAGGTAAATTGATGAGAAATGTCGATACCAGCAAAATGAAAGTCCTCTCTGATGTCAGCGAGTCCATGGGTTTGGATTTGAGTGACAGAGATGAGAATGAGGACGATTTAATAGACGAATATCTTTCGCATGACATAATTGATAGCGAGAAAATAAATAAAACTAGGTATTACACATTACAATTGAATACGGACGAAAACATGCCCTGCGCCGTAACATCATATCCCTTGGAATTAAATGATGATAAGGACGAAATTAAGTTGAAAATTCACTCCTTACCGTATATTGGTGGAATGTTTGTTATAGATTCATCATCATACAATATTATTTCATGTAATAACGCTATTGCAAAAAATTTGTTCGGTAGATCCTCAGCTTATTTGAAAAATAAGTCAATTAATAATTTAATCCCGGATTTCACTGAAATTTTAAACATAGGTTTAAAGAATCATGAAGATTCATTAGACATTGTCCCTGGGCTTGTATTGCCGGAACATTTCTTTAGGAAGTTTGACGCAATACGTAGGCATTCAAATGATAAGAAAGAAACTGAAGAATCCTTATTCTTCAATTCGCAAGGTATAAGAGGATTACATAGAGATGGTAAATTTATTTGGGTTGATGTTCAATTAAGAGCTTCTTCAAGTGAGGCATTTGTCGTATGGATCACATATTCAAGGCTGATAGGTACGAAAGATTCCAACGTGTCGAAAGAACTTGAAAAGCTAAGTTCAAGCACTTCTTCATTATCGATTCAACTGATGAACGACAAGGAAAGAATTAAAACTAGACTGCTGAGTGGTGGTTATAGAATGAATGAAGTAAATCTACCATCCCAACTAAAACTATTTCCCCATGATGATCTGGAAATTATAGAATTTACCCCAAGTAGTGGTGAAATTAGTAGAGAAACAAGTACTAGGCGGCCTAAGTCGAATACATTTGCAATTCCTATAGCCCACATGAATAAAAACTTGGAAAAAGCGCAAGACTTAGGTGATAATATTGGAGGAGAAGGAGGAAATGCAATGAAAAGAAAGAGAATGATCTCAAATACCGATTCGACAGGTTCATATGTGTCTGGAAAATCAACCGAATCAGCCACAATGAGTCCAGATACTATTGCAACAACAGTATTTAATGATAATGAAAGAAAAAGTTCAAATGCCATCATATCAAATGATACATATCATAAATATTCGGAAAAAGAGATATTAAAGATTGAAGATGAAATGCTTGAAGATAAGATAAAGCATTCAACTCATTGGCCAACAGTCATAGGAGCAAAGAGAAGAACAAAAAAATTCTCTGAATTCAAGGTGCTCAAAGAGTTAGGTGAAGGCGCTTATGGAAAAGTTGTTCTTGCCCAGCATAAGGAAGATCCTGCTTATACAATAATCATTAAATGTATAGATAAAGAAAGAATTTTGGTGGATACATGGGTAAGAGACAGAAAATTAGGTACGATTTGTTCTGAAATTCAAATAATGGCATTCTTGAACAACGAGCCCCATGTAAATATCATGAGAATTATTGATTTTTTCGAAGATTCGAAGTACTATTACCTTGAAACCCCATTATTTGGTGATCCTCCAGCTATTGATTTATTTGATTTTATTGAAATTAGAAAGGATTTAAGTGAGCGTGAATGCCGTTTTATTTTTAAACAAATAGTACTGGCAATTTATCATTTGCATAAACACGGAATAGTTCATCGAGATATCAAAGATGAAAATGTAATTGTTGACGAGAATGGCATTGTTAAGCTAATTGATTTTGGTAGTGCAGGTTATACTAAACTGGGACCTTTTGACGTTTTTGTTGGAACGATTGATTATGCATCACCTGAAGTATTGCGTGGTGAGAAATATGAAGGTAAGCCGCAGGACATCTGGGCACTAGGAATTTTGTTATACACTATGCTTTATCAAGAGAACCCTTTCTATAACGTTGATGAAATTATGGAAGGAGATTTGCGAATCCCCTATGTTGTGAGTGAAAACTCCTTGAAATTGATTAAAAAGATTTTGGTCAGAGATATAAAGTGTAGACCGACTATTACAGATATCGTAGAGGATGTATGGCTAGATATATAGAGACATAGTATAGTGTATATTTTTCATGAATATAAAAATTTAGAAATGAAGATGCGACACGTCCTAATCTGTACGAATAATAAAAACCACCTTCTAAAGTAGATTTAGCCTTCAAACCTGAATAAATATTTTACAATAAATGAATCATTGACATATAGACAGGTTCATGAGCGAAGATAATCCCATACCACATAGGGTTAAACTTCCGTTTACGTTTGAAGTTCAACTGGCATCATCAACTTCATGTCCTAACACGATAACTGTGCTACTGAAAGTTGATAACATAGTTCTTGATAAGCTTCCCCAAGGCTTTTATAATGGCCTGGTGATATTTAAATTACAAGAAAATGTACATGAATTATTGGGCTCCTTTTTTTCAAATTTTTTCTATGTAAAGATACAAGAGAGAATTACAGACAAAGATTGGAAGATTGGAATTGTTTATTGCATTCACGACAAGTATTATGGCATGATTCAAATTCCCAAAGACATTAAGTTGAAAGATATTGATTCAAAAGTGCAAGGAAGAGTTCCAATTTCTGGCTACAAAAAAAGGGATGATTGCATTTCTAGGTGGAGATTTGACATTGAACTGCTGAATAAGATGGAAGCGGAACTGACTCAAGTGGATAACTTTACGATGAAACCACCAAGTACTAAAGTAATCGCTGAAGATCATCCTAAGATGTTCGATTATTCTCCCCAATCACAGAAAGATCCCGTCCGATTTTTGTATTCGAGATACTACAGTATATTATATTCATTAAATACACCTTTGAGCTACTTCCCAAAGACTACAATTAGTCGTCTCAAAAATTTATGTGGAAATGATGCTGATGTTATGAAAGAACATTTGTCAAAATTACACTTATCAGTTAAGGAATTAGATGATAGACACAGCGGAAAGTATGGAATATTGAAAACTCTTGATGTTAATGAAATCGAAATACCTGATTTTGATATGAAAATAAAATATGAAAATCAAAATCAGAAGGAATTTTTGATTAAGAATCATGATTTATTTATTAAGTTGAGGACAACGGAGAATAATCAAAATAACGTAAGTGACAGTAACAAGAATGCCAATCAGGTAGAAAAGGTCCAGTTTTCTGAGAACAACAACCTATCATTTGTTTTTGATCTCAAAGTTAGAGAAGCTCAGTTGCAAATTTTAATATTATTAGAATTGCTTGATTGCTGGCAGGTGGTGGAAAGTGATTTTCTTGCTACCAATTTAAAAAGGCAAGAAAAAGAGGAAAAACAAAAGACAAAACAAAAAAAGAAGTCATTGGTACGTAAGAAATCAATCACATCCAAGAAAATCGTTCCTACTTTCTTAGGAATGGGTGTGGATATTCAAGATAAGCATATATCTTCGCAACCGGAATCAACTGAGATAAATGAATATATCGTCTATGAAACTTTGAACACGCTACTCGATAGAATTGGCCTTTGGGATACTTTATTGGATAGGCCTACTGGAGATAAAGATGAAAGTTCGCTTGGATTTTTGGCGTATGTTTTAATACCGTATTTTCGTCAAAGATTACCATTGACAATTAAATATATTATAGAGCGAGTAAAAGGGCTAAATTTGAAATTAAACTCTAAGTTGAATAGACAAAATACGCAGAAGCAATCGAATTCAAATGAGATAAAAGACATAGCTAATGAGAAGGCGACTACTAATACACATGTTAATCGAACTTCGAAATTTGCAAAAGTTCATATTGATCCTAAGCAAGTTCCATTTCTTAAAAAATCTTCTTCAACAATTTCACTGAACTATGATTTATTACCTGCATTTTCTCTTAAGAGGTCTAAATCAACCTTGTCATCCAAAAATTTACAAAAGAGACAAGTGGATATGTCTCTGAATTTAAAATCCTTCAGTGAATCCAATCGTGATAATAATGAAAAGCAACCTACTGTATCTAGAAGCTATTTAGAAAAATCAGAGTCTGAGAATAGAAAGCAAATTATTTTCGGAAATGCAAAGAAGCTTAAATCGCAGCCAGATATTAGACTGAATAATAAACATGAGGCATTTTCCCAAGTTGAAGCTACACCTGCAAAAAAGAAACCAGAAGGAGTTTTTGCTGGCATTTCTTCAGAGATAACTACGCCGACACATCCCAATCGATACCAAAGCAATTCAATTGCAAAAACGCCTGTTGGTCAATTTATTCGTCCAACAGTGGCTGCTTCTTATAAAGAAACAACAATTCCATGCTCCACAGTCAAAGATAGACCGTCATTAAGCGATAGATTGATAAGTGCATCATTGGCACCACCTGTCGATGTGATTGTCAATTCATCTCCAGTGAATACACACTCGGCTCTGAAAATAAATGAACCAACACCGGAAGTCATCGCGAGCTCACCATTCAATAGCATCGCACCAGTGGTAGATTTAAAGTCCTCACCACTTCAGGCAGAATTCAGCAGAAAAAGAAAGAAGCCTGGTGAACCAATCTCATATCCAGATTCAGCATTTTTTGATACTACTATGAATGGATCCCCTGTCTCGACTCTATTAAAGGAAGCAAATACGAACGATTCAACTTCTATATTTAAGAGAAGCAGCACGAAAAGAAATAAGTCGACTTTGCCATGCCTTAAACAAACAACTGTGAACATAATTAATGATAGCGATATCGTATCAAATATACGTAAGAATGACCAGGAATACACAGACGATGTTGATTCAGATTATGAAAGATTAATGAAACCACAACCCTCATCTAATTATGGGATAAATATGCAGAAAGCATTTAAAACTTACAAAAGGACAAAACGAATTGAATAATAATACATAAACGCATACATAAGTACATAGAGAGAAGATTATCTTCTAAATTAAGATAAGAATCAAATATTAATTTCTCCGAAAAAAAGGCCCCTTACAATCGATTTGGCATCATGCTGATTAAGAACCAAATCTGATAGCGTATCACCAAGTCTATCCTTTAATTTATCCTTAATATCATCTGATAAGTCAGTGCCATCAACTTCCATATCATCTCCTTTATCGAGGTCAATCCGCAAATTCTTCAAAATATCTAATGTAGTGTTTAATAATATTTCTCTTTCAGAATCGTTCTTATTACCCTCGTCAACTACGAGTTTGCACCACATCTTCAAATTTCCAATTAACACCAATTTTACAACTTCATTACCCATGTTTTTTAATCCCAACAAGGCTCCATAGTGAGTTCCAATCGGTTTCGAAGAATCTAATAAAGCACGTAATAAGGTTCTAGTGACCCTTGGTTTGAGAGTTGAATATGATGATCCGTAGACCTTTATTATATGCTCGAGCAAAATTGCAGCAAATTCTCTTACAGCTAATTGATTTTTTAAAGCTTCATTAGAGTTATTATCCTTAATTATAGGACCAATTCTCTTAGCAAGTAATAATGTCAAAATACATGGCATCAATGCATGCACGTATGGATCCAAGAATATGGTCTTATTATCTGCAAGAGCAGAGATGACTTCCAACATCGTAGACAAAATATCGATATTTCTCAATTGATTTGTGATTTGCTCAGCGACAAACTGTATGAAATAAGGAACAAGCTGGTGTAAACCAGGGTCATTCTTTAAAGAATTTATTGCAGCATACTTCAAGCTCTCCTTTTCGGGGTCAGTCGATATGAGAACTTCAACTACCTTATCGAAATATAACTTAAGTTCCTTAGACAATACATGTTTGACTAATGGCTTAACTTCTACTTCCTTTTCTGTCAATTTCTTATTCTTCGCTTCAACGTCAGTACCATTAGCAGCATCTTTGGCTGTGCTTTCATTCGAGAAACCCGAGTTTAATATATCGTTACCCAATATTGAAGAGGTTGCACCTCTAATGATTGGTGGTAAACTTTTAATTTCTGATGGAAGTGGGTTCTGGGGAATCATAGGTTGCACTCCCTCTATAGCAAGCCAATGAGCAGTAAATGTTGTCTGTCTAGGAACACTTGGAAGTTCCTGATTAATTAATTTTTCAAACTCAATTTCATGATTGTCTATATAGTACAATGTTTGACCTCCGGCTCCAACTAAGGCTTCTTTAAACGACAATGGCTGAGAGCTGTCATATCCATATAATGGTTCTATATTCAATATTTTTAACGCATGATTGATATCACTAGTCATCAAGAGCTTCCTTTTCGAATGTCTCATAAATTTAATAGCTGTTTCAAGAATTTCATGTATTCTATATTCAACATCCATAGCAAGATTCTTAGCTGCCTCTTCAGGTAAATTTATACCTAATGATTCTGCCGCATCTTTGACAGTATCATGGGGAGACCACAATGTATGTGAAAGTGGAACTTTGGAACTTGGATCCATAATAGTCTATGAATTAGGTCTATATGACTGAATGGGGTATCGGTACACGGTCTTATAGTACTTCTTTGATGAAGTTGTATTTTTCAATACGGATATTATATACAGGAAAAATAAGTGCCTTCACTCTTTGGAGCACTAAATACATATGGCAAAACGTTTAGAAGATGAAAAAGTGACTATAATGTGGTTCTATAAATGATAGGCTACTGTGGAACGCTTGTTATGTGAATAAGCTGAAGAATCCGTACTTCAAAAAAAAAAAAAGCATAGGAGATTAAATGAATTGAAGTTTTTAACTGATGGCTTCTTAAACATAAACCTTGAAGTCTAATAATAGCTGTTGTGCTGTTAGATGTTAGTTCAAGACAGATCTCTTAATTTTTGTAATTCTGTTACCAATTCATGGTTCAATTCCAATAATCGTTTATTTTCTTTATTTAATTGGTCAAGCTTCTTGTTTTTCTTTTCAAATTCCTTTTCATAGAATTCTAGTTTCAGCTTTTCCAGTTGTTCTTTCATTTGCTTCAATGCTTTGTGCGTTTTTTCTTTATTATCAGTGGCGGAAGTGTCATCTAGACTTTCTCTATGTACTTCGTGATGTTGGCTTATATTGTTAGGAACAACAACAGGCAGCTTATACCTAAAATCATTTCGTTGCTGTTCTTCGAACCTTTCCTTGCTTAGTTTAGCCATGACTTCAACATCGTACCCTTTTAAATAGAATAATTCACATAAAAGTTTATCTATCCTCTCTGTCAATATCTCTCTTATGGGCAATGAGAATGCTGCATATCCAATTGGAGCCAGCCCACCATCTGGGGGCCTGACATATTCAGCCTTATACACTTGTTTGTAGCGGTTAATTGAGTAAACCCGTTGCGTGAAATCATCCATTAGTTTTAAATATACATCCTTGATGTACTGTCCATTAAGCGTGGCAATTTCATCCAAATCCTTGTTGTTATTATCGGTAGACGCCAAAGCGGATTGAAACTGGTCAGTATTTAGCTTTATAGCTATCATCTCCCAGATATCATCTTGCTGTTCTTTTGTCGCTTGCAAATGAGGCAAATCCTGTAGCACATATTCAAGTAAAGGCTCTTTGATAATTGACTCTATCCTTTCTTGTTCCTGTTTGAAAAAGGAGTTTCTGGAAGTACTACTATTGAAAAACGCCTTCATTGTTAATGTAGACAATATATGTTTTGTTTCCTATTCAATTCTAAACTTCGATTCTAATAGATATCTAATCAAATTTGGCGCTATTTTATTCTCAGCTAATCCCAGATAAGAAAGTGAATTAAATATGCTTACTATAGATCTTCAATTATGCCTAAGAAAATGTTCGATTAATATAATGACTATACATATCTAACTAGCTTTGTAACCCCTTCTCTTGCTTCGACTTCCGTGACATCGTTTTCAACTTATCTTGACTTTCCTTTAACAGTTGTCTCTGTTTGTTGTACCTCAATTCGGCAGCTTTTGCTACTGCCTCCCTGGTATTTGGATTCTTTTCATTGATTTCTCCTCCTAGGGGTTTACCTTGATTACGATTAGTCGACTCTTGTACATTTCTATTAGTGCTACCTGTATATTTTTCATCTATTATATTATTCCCATTTCCAGCTGTACCCGACTCAGTATTACTTCCTAACTTTTGCTCACTCCTAGTAAACCTATCATTGCCCGTTGTACGCTTAGTAGTAGCTGGCTCTTTATCGGATTTGGAAAAACAAGATCCCATTACAAAGTATCGTTTTAATTAACAATATGGGCCAATGATCCCATATTCGATTATGCGAATCCACAAAGATATAGTGAACTAGCGAATCAAATTAATATGGGGTAGTCGTTCAGGCCATTGAATAAAGAATACAGAAATACAAACTAATACGTTACTAGCAATTATTATATTATATGTACTATGACCCTTTAGTCTTTCTATTCTATTTACAAAAAGCATTATATATACACAATTGGAATGGCTTCCTAATGTTCTTATTATTTTCCAATTATTTTCGATGAAATCTTCTGATAGTTAATGTTAGGTTTTAAATGGCGAAATTGGGGCACAACAATATCCACTTCATTCGAGAAATCCGAGTCAGAACCAAACGTAAGCGTGGAGAAAGACTTCAAATGTTCTCTCTTTTTTAACCAATATTTGACAAATCTTATACAAGATCTTTGATCTTGAATATAATCCTTGTATTGATTAGCAACAGCCAAATAAAAGTCCTTTCTCTCTGATCCGTTATCTGATAATATTGTGGCATCACGTAACGCAGCCCAATCAGCAATTGGAATATAGTTAAATCCATTATCATCCAAATGCTTCAAAGAGTCATTCCATTTCTGTAAAATATCTTCATTAGTATATTGGGGTAATTCACCAGTCTTTTTCAAACAAATACGGAAAGAGACAGGTGTACGCTTGACATTATAGATCGAATAATTTTCGATTAACTGTTCCAAAACATTCTTGTCACCCCAAGAATAGTTACCGATAATTGTATTCAAGAAAACCTCATCGACAGGCTTAATATCAGCATATAAAGCAATAACTTCTCTCAATTTGTTGAAAGATTCGGCATTTAAGGCTGGGTAAATCTTGAAAAATATCGTAAAAAAAGTATTATTCAAAATAGAATAACGTGAATTTAAACCAGTCGAGTTCTTTTCATTACTGTAATGGACGATAGTAGACTTCCAGAAATAAATAATATTATCAAGTGATTCATTAAGTTCAAAACAATTCTGTAATAAAGATTGGATATAAGGAACCTTCAAACAAACGTAATATGGCAAGTCATATTGAACAACTTTATCAAAAAAGTGTTTAGAAATCTTTATATCTTTGCATGATCCAATAAAATTCAAATGTAATTCACCCAACGAGGCTAATACATGTTGTGTGCTTTGTTGTTTTGATTCGTATAATTGCAATAAAGCTTCCAATGAATCCAACCCACGAGAGTAGTCACCAGAACTAATAGCAATTTTTCCGATCGAACATAACAACTCATGTTGTACCGTGGAGAGTTCTTTAGTATTTAATTCATAGATATGTAAAATTTCTTCGTATGAAAATCTCTTTTGATCATAAGCAATTGGCAAGATAACTGCTAATATTTTCTCGTTCAAATATAATTTCCCAGTTTCAGCATCGTTCACACCGTTTTCCCACAAATTAAGCATCTCTGGGTATAACTGGAATTGTTTCATCGAGAAAAATAAATACAGTAAAATGTTTGCATTCAAAATCTTGTTGAATTCACCATTGATAATAGTTTCACTCAAATTCAAGACTGCAGACTTAATCAATACCTCATCATGCAAGTTCTCGTTCTGATACTGGTCACTGTCTCTATTTCTCGAGCTGGACAATCTATTGGTTCTATTATGATAAACTGAAAAATTCAAAATTTGGGTATAACTGTACAAATCTCTAGAAGAGTAGGATGCACGTAAGCTTTCATCTTCGAATGCCTTGAAAAGATTATCCACAGTAGCAACAAAAGCTCTTTGACTGTCACGATCTCTAGCGCTTCTGTACTGAAATGCCAATGAAAGTTGTTCTTTAAAATAGTTCAACTTTGAATTGGCTTCACTATCAAGTGCTTCACGTAATATTGGATCTCTTTGTGCCTTGGCAACAAAAGAATCAACTTTAGAATTCTTTGTCTTCTGACTCGATGCACTTGAATTTTGTCTTGTAAATTGACATGTTAAGTTATATTGTGCTGGAGATGGTGGATTCACTTGTATGCTACTCGATGGGAGACTTATATTAGGCTTATTACTTCTAACCTTCAGTAAAATAGCAGGCCTAAGCGACTGCTGGGTATTAACAGAAAGTAATCTAAACATGGTATACGTTTTTAATACTTCTAGCCATAAATATCGTTTCTTAAATGTTGCCACCAGGCTTTAGTTTCTATAAATTTGAGTATAGTGATTCGAAAATTTTTCAGACTGTATATCACCTGATCATATTTCTTTTAACAAATTAATATATGGAAGGCCAAAGTAGATAATGCTTGATATATTCTAGATGGCCTTTGGGATGATCCAGTTATATCCCTCGTGTATCATGTCGTGTTAATAGGTTTATAATATGGTAGAACTATGTACATGCAAGCTCACATAGAGGTGATATGAACACCGATATTACGTCCGATACAAACAACCACATAAACTAAAAAAACAAGTAATTTAGTAGATTCCGAAGAAGTGTAGGTTCATAACAGAGCATACTGTTAAGTAATAGCTGATTTTACGGGATTAATGGTGAAGTTGTAAGCTGTATAGATAGTTGGATCAAGGAGAGATATATGCAGTATTGATCCGCTAATGATATCAAAACACTGATAAAGAATATTCCCAAGAAGAAATCATTGATAAGTCACATAAATAGTGCTAATACGCGATAAAATATGCCCGGTAAGAGTCTGGGATGGTCTAGAACGGGAAATGCTACAGAGACATCGACTTTGTTGCCGGTACATAAGAATACAAAGATAGATCAGGAGATAGCATCAGAAAATGAAAAGGTTGTAGAAAAGAGGCCCAAATTGGGCACTTTCGAAGGGGTATTTCTACCAACAGCTTTGAATGAACTTTCTATTTTGATGTTCTTGAGATTTGGGTTTATTATAGGACAGATGGGTATCACGGGTACATTCTTGCTATTAATTATGTCATACACAATCGACATTCTAACGGTTATGTCGATCAGTGCTATATCTACCAATGGTACCGTCAAGGGAGGTGGAGCATATTATATGATATCTAGGTCTCTAGGGCCCGAATTTGGTGGCGCTATTGGAGTAATTTTCTGCATAGGCCAGATTCTCAATGCATCTTTGAATGTTGTGGGTCTCATAGAACCTATCCTAGTCAACTTTGGCGAGCATAATGGTGACATTCTCCAAATATTACCGATTGGATATTTTTGGCAAGCACTTTATTGTTCGATTGTGCTAGCATGCTGTACGGGAGTGGCTTTGGTGGGTGCCAAATTGGTATCTAAAACTGCATTCTACTTGTTCATTATTTTATCATTGAGCACATTATCAATTCCCATTTCAGCTCTTTTTGTAAAGCCATTTAATCCCTTACCTCCTCCTCACCAGAATCTAGCATATACCGGATTGTCTTGGGCGACAGTGAAAGAAAACATGTGGCCTCACTTCACAAGCGGTGCTGCAGGTTCAGTCTTAGCACCAGGAGAGAAAGAAACGTTCAAAAATTTGTTTGGGATTTTTTTCCCTTCTACTGCTGGTATATTTGCCGGTGCTTCGATGTCGGGCGAGCTTGCAAATCCGTCTAAGTCAATTCCCCAAGGAACATTGAAAGGGCTGTTGCTTACGTTTATTTTTTATTCTTTGGTCATAGCTAGTTTGGGGTCTACAATATCAAGAGAACTATTTTATCAAGACATTAAAGTGATCCAAACAGTTAACATGCATAAGGTTGTTGTGCTACTTGGGGAGATTTCTACGTCTCTTTTCTCTGCAATTATGGGAATCGTGGGTGCCGCGACCATGTTGTCTGCAATTGCTGATGACAAGATCATTCCTGGCTTATCAGCATTCACTGTATCAAAAAAATCTTCAAAGGAAAGGAAACTTGGCGAATCATTAAGTGTTTTAGCAACATGGTGTGTTGCTCAAATCTTTTTATTTGCAGATATTAATCAAATTGCTACATTTATTACTATGGCATTTTTAATGACATTTATTGTTACGAATTTGGCTTGCTTTTTATTAAGGGTTGGCTCTGCTCCGAACTTTAGACCATCGTTTAAATATTTCAGCTCTAGAACTGCACTTACGGGATGTTTGACGTCGATATTTGCAATGTTTATTGTTGATGGAATATCCGCTTCTTTGATTATAGTTTTTTTGATGCTTTTAATTATTATAATTCATTATCTTACACCTCCTCTGAAGTTTGGTGATATATCTCAATTATTAATATATCATCAGGTGAGAAAATATTTGCTCAGACTAAAGTTGCAGATGAGTGTCAAATACTGGAGGCCTCAAATCCTCTTACTTTGTGATGATCCAAGAACATCATGGAATTTAATTGGGTTTTGCAACCATTTGAAAAAAGGAGGATTATACATCTTAGGACATGTTGTCGTTCTTAATGATGAGGCTAACCCTGAAAACAATAGCCTGGAATTTGGGGTTAACTCTTATAAAGAAATTCAAAAGCAAAGGAATGCATGGCTGAAACTTCGTGATATGTCAAATATTAAAGCTTTTGTTCAGATTGCATTAGGACCAACATTGCCTTGGGGCGTCCGTAATGTCTATCTAGGATCGGGACTTGGTGGTATGAGACCAAATATAACAGTTTTGGGATTTTATGATTTTGTAAAGCATGGCGTTGAATTACCATTTTTATCGTCTTTCAAGGATAAGAATAAAATAACTGAGCTCCCCACAGATGATTGTAGAAAAGAAAGAAAAGTATCTATCGGTCAATGGGTTCAAATCGTGGAAGACCTTATTATTATGCAAGCTACAGTTGCTGTTGCAGCAAACTTTGGTGCTATGAACCTACCTCAACCTGAAGTGAAAAGGCAACATTTTTGGTCTCAACCAAAACCATCAAATTCTGACGTGAAGAAATACATTGATTTATATCCTATCCAAATGTCATCTATTAGCCATCTTGAAAATGGAAAATCTGTTCTTTCAACAAATTTTGATACTTACACCTTAATTTTGCAGTTAGGAGCAATCTTGGTGACTGTCCCAGAATGGAAATACAGCTTGTATTCATTAAGGGTAATTGTTTTTGTTGAAAACCAATTTGAAGTAAATGACGAAAAGAAAAGAGTCAGTGAATTATTATCTACCTTGAGAATTGAAGCCGAAGTAAAGATTATCTGCCTTGATGATGGAACTTTAAATTCTTACAATTTGTTAGTCAAGGGATATTCGAAAACATCTGGTAATAAGAAAATATTTGATAGACTTGACAGGACCTTAAAACACGATCAATGGTGGAAGAACCTATGTAATGCTAGGCACACATTAAAGGAATTGGAGAAACAGAAAGTAAGGAAACAAGCTAAGAAGACACAATCAGGTATTGATGAAGCATTGAAGAACATCACCTCCTTAGATTTGAATCACCCGTCTTCTCGAGTAATACCTTCTAACCTTTCAACTAATGAGTTTAAAAATAACAGAAGATATACAATTTCTAATTTACAAGATAGGGGACTTTCGCTATCATTTAACATGAAGACTCAACAACAAGATTTCTTTGCATTTGAAGATTCATCGAGCAGTGACTCAAGTGATAATGAAAGAGAAGATATCTCTTGTAATATCGAAGACAGTCTTGATAGCTCTAGAATACTTGATAGAATAACTTCGCATTCACCTAATATTGATGATAACCATGAATCATCGAATAAAAATAATCAAGATGTGGCCGAGAATGCGCAATTAAAAACATTGACAAAGTTGAAGGAATATGATGACTTAAGGTCAGGGAGAAATGTTTCTACTGATCGATTATCGATAAAGTCATCAAGGTCTAGTTTAAGGCCAAATTTCCTGTCCGTAAAATTTCCAAAAGCAAAATTTGATGATGAGGACCATGAAGCCGATGGAGACAACCCTTCTATACGATTTGTGATCGACGACGATAGTGATATTGAAGATGAGAATGATAACGAAGAAGCAAAAGAAGAAGCTACAGAAAAAGGTAAAAAGCATATGTTCACCAAGGTAACAAGTAGTATGGATAGAGAAAGAGGTATTAGTCACGTTTCAAGACTTGACCAGAAAGGAAAGAAGGGGTCTAAGAAAGCAGACATCATCAATACTTTGAAATCTAAAGGTATATTGGAGGAGCCTCCAAAGTCACCGTCATTTATGACAAATGACGATGATATTATTCGTCGTATGAATAGCCCAGAATTTTTAACCGTCGAAGATGGCGAGGAGGCTAATAAAGAAAAAATTCCTTCTGAGGGATTATCTTATTTACCGAAGAATGCCTTGTCTGGGTATGAAGACGGAACGGGAGTTCTCAAGGCTAACGATTCTGCACATCAGAGTGCCGAGGCTCACGAAGGTAAAGGTCTCACGCAAAGACAATTACAAGAGGAGCTTAAGAATCTATCGTTCAATGATTTACCTGCTAAAGGACAGCATCTTATTTTGAATGAGTTGATGAGATCCAATTCTCCGTTAGATCAAACTGACGTTATTTTTTCAACTTTGCCAGCCCCCTTTATTGGTACCCATCTTGACGAGGAAGATTCTTTTATCTACACCCATAATTTAGCTATATGGACTGATGGATTACCACCTACTTTACTTATTAACTCTCAAACAGTTACTGTAACCACTGCATTGTGATTTTACGTTTATATTTATATTGCATTATAGACATTTGATTTTGTGTAATTTAATACACTGATTCGACTCAAGATGAGCTTGATGTTGTAGAATCCATTACTGAATATCTTTCCTATTCTTATCTATCTACTTATTAGATACGAGAAATTGTAAATAAAGATTAGTATTTGTTTAGAAATTGTGCAGAATGAATAGTAACAACTCAGGCTATTCGTTAAAGCATAATAATACTCAAGATAACAATCATAATTCAGAAGATAGCGTTACTAACAAAACTGGTGAATTAGACAAACTCCATGTAAAAGATAATCAAGTATTGTCAAAGGAAGAGAAACTAAAAAGGAGACAAGAACAGTTGGCCGCATGGAAACAGAAGCGTCAACATGAAAATCAGGAGCCGCCTAGTCAAAAGGATGTAACACCTGTGCCAGATATATCGGATATAGATCAGAAAAAGCTCATACGCCAACAGAGAATAGAAGAATGGAAAAGAAAAAGGCTTCAAAAAACAGATAATTCTGATATAGGCCAGTCAGGGATAAAGGCATTTGAGGCGAAGAATGACAGCCAGCACACAATTAAGATTAATGCATCAATGAAAAAGACTACTAATGATCGTCTGAAGAAGAGGCTGATCTTTGGAGAAGAAGAAGAAGATGATGATGAGAAAGATTCAAAACCAAAGTTTAAGAAGCCATCTTTGGACTCAGCAGAAATTGATGACAGCAACGATACAGATGAAAAAATGGTTGATTCTGAAATCGATGAGTTGGACAAATATTTACTGCTTCTAGAAGAGAAAGAAAAAGGTGACTTAGGTAATAGAAGAGCTGAGTACGATAATATCAATGATGCAAAAGCGGAAGATCTGGAATTAGTTAATGTTAACGAATCTGATGATGAAGAAATCGATGAAGATCAAAGACAACAAGATATACTTTCTTCTAAGTTGAAAAAACTTCAAAACAAACAGAAACAATTGGATGATGTTGACCATAGCGAAATTAAGTACAAACCGTTCAGAAAGGATTTTTACACTGAGCCAATAGAGATTCTGAAACTTTCACAAGAGGAAGTTGCCAATTTACGTATCAGGTTGGACGGAATAAAAGTCCGTGGTGTTAACTGCACGAGACCCATTCTTAGATGGTCACAACTAGGGCTTCCGTCTACAATGATGTCAATTATTGAGGGAAAATTGAACTATTCTGCACCATCGTCAATTCAAGCACAAGCCATACCCGCAATCATGTCAGGTAGAGATATTATCGGTGTTGCAAAAACAGGATCGGGAAAAACTTTATCTTTTGTTTTACCACTTTTGAGACACATTCAGGATCAGCCACCATTAAGAAAAGGCGATGGTCCAATTGGATTGATAATGACGCCTACAAGAGAACTTGCGTTGCAAATACACAAGGAATTGAGCCATTTCACCAAAAAATTAAATATTTCATCATGTTGTTGCTTCGGCGGATCATCTATCGAGTCTCAAATTGCTGAATTGAAGAAAGGTGCACAAATAATTGTTGGTACACCAGGGAGAATAATCGACTTGTTGGCTGCAAATAGTGGTAGAGTAACCAATTTACAAAGGGTGACTTATCTTGTGCTAGACGAGGCTGATAGGATGTTTGATATGGGATTTGAACCACAAGTTACTAAAGTTTTCACAAGAGTGAGGCCAGACAGACAAACCGTGTTATTTTCAGCGACCTTTCCTAGGAAAATGGAGCTTCTTGCAAAAAAGATTTTGGATAACCCAATGGAGATTGTTGTGGGGGGTATTAGTGTTGTTGCATCTGAAATTACACAGAAAGTCGAATTATTCGAAAATGAAACTGAGGAAAGCTTAGAGAAAGATAAGTTTTCTAAATTATTGAATATACTAAAAGAATATGGAGAAAAAGATGCTGAATGTAAAATCTTAATATTCGTGGAAAAGCAAAATGCAGCAGATGAATTGCTAGTCAAGCTATTGACGGAAAAATATGCATGCCTTGCTATCCATGGGGGAAAGGATCAAATAGATCGTAAATATGCGATAAGAGAATTTTCTTCTTCCAATAGTGGAGTTAATATTTTAATTGCCACTTCAATTGCCGCAAGAGGGTTGGATGTTAAAGGCTTAAACTTAGTTATTAATTATGAGGCTGCAAACCATATGGAGGATTATGTTCACAGAGTAGGAAGAACCGGTAGAGCTGGGAGAAAAGGTACCGCTATAACTTTTGTTTCTTCAAAACAAGGTAGGGCTGTTACTGATTTGGTCAAAGCTATGAGATTGAGCAAAGTACCTGACGATGAAATCGACCCAAGGTTGATTGAAATAAGTACCAAATTTTTAGAGGGAGTAAAGTCAGGAAAAGAAAAATTCAATTTTGGTTTTAGTGGGAAAGGGTTAGATAACTTACAGGAGATTAGAGAGAATAATAGAGATTTAGAAAGAAAAGTATATGGAGAAGAGACAGATTCTCCAGCTTTCAAAGTTAATGAAAAGAAGAAAAATAAAAATGATTCTTATGAAGCCGACCTTGATGTCAAATTACCAGATTTTCATATCATTGAGGGAAGAGCTCCAGAAACGGCAGGACCAGATAAATGTAAGTTCCACTCTAGAATCACTATTAATGATTTGCCACAAAAGGCCAGATGGATTACTGTCAATCGTGACAGTTTATCAAAAGTTATCGAAACAACGGGAACTTCAATTACCAACAAGGGTCATTATTATCCTCCAAACTCCAAGATTCCTAAAACTGTGAAACAAAATGGCAAAGAGGTCGTTCCACCTCCTAAATTATACTTATTAGTGGAAGGTTTGACAGAAAAAGCAGTTCATGATGCAATAATGCTATTAAGGCAGAAAATGATTGAAGGATTAGAAGTAGCTGCTAAAGAAGAATCAAAGGGTCCTACAGGAAAGTATACGGTTTGAAATTGAAGGCACGTGCAAATAGTATCTTCCTCGGTAAAAATGAATGCGACGATAAATGGTGGAGATAGTATAAAGCTGGGGCCGTTTGACATTATATAAATCTATTTCTTCTTAAATCTTAATATCTTAATCAAAATATACTAAAAGAAAGATATATAACAATGAGTGAATTCAACGTAGAGGACTACAAAAAATATGATAAATTTACTGTTAGTGAAGTAGAAGAAGGATTCTATCATGTACAATTCAATAACCCGAAATCCTTAAATGCATTCACAGAGCAAATTTGGAGAGACTATGCAGAGATATTAGAAAAATTAGATAAATGTGAAGAAACTAGTGTGATTTTGATTTCGTCCGCAGTACCAAAAGCTTTTTCGAGTGGGTTGGATTTGAAAGATGCAATTAATACCATGGCAAATACTGTGCTGAATTCCGAAAAAGAGAGGTATGAATCTTTGCATAAGCACATTGCTGATTTTCAATATTGCATTGCCACTCCTACACGTATTAGAACACCTACAATTTGCTTAATGAATGGGATCAATTATGGATTAGCTTTGGACATTTCTTCAGCCTGTTCCATTAGAGTCGCAACTGCTGATTGTAAGTTTTCTATTCGAGAAATTAAGATTGGTATCCCAGCTGATATTGGTTCGTTACAGAGATTGCCATCTATCATCAACAACAAATCATTGATGTATCAGTATGCTTTGACCGGTGATATTTTTGGCGCAGATGAAGCAACTAAGTTAGGATTTATTAGTGCTGTTCTTCCAGATCTCAACGCAGGTGTTGAATATTGCAAAAGCTTGGGTGAAAGTATTAACCAACATCAGCAATGGGCTATCAAAGGAACCAAGGAAAGCATTCAACATATCGTTGATAATGGTTCACCATCAGAAGGATTGAAGAATATAGCACATTATAATGCTACTAATATTGATGGCAGATTTGTCAGAGCAATGTCGGGTATTAAACTTTAAATAATATAAATATTATAGGGCGTCGATATAGTATCAGCATTACTAATGTAGACTAGTACTTGGTTAACTGTACTTCACTATTTCTGCTAGATATAGAAATTATCTATTTGATCTTGAATCCGGGTAAATTTTAAGAACTAGATTTTGTGTTTTAGTGTTCGATTTTTTTTTTCATTTGATTTACATTCAAGATACTGCTAATACAACCCATACAGACGAATACGGTAAAGGATGGCATATGCATTGAAAAGGGGTCAGAAAATAACAGGAATATCCATTTCGAAACGATTTGTTTCTTCCCCCGCTGTTAGCCTAAATGACGATATCGTTAGTTCATTTGAGTCTCACTCAACAGCCAAAACTAGCCGAAGTATACCCAATAACGCATTAAATACCTTGAGAAATACACCATCAAAGTTGTTTTTGGAGTCCTTATCAGAAAGCTATTTTGCTCCCACATTTAAGTCGAAGACCAAATTACCAAAAAATGAAGTAATTAAGAGGGAATTATGCAAATTAGTTGAATTAAGACAGTTTGATACTTTGATAGACTTATTTTTGAAACTAACTTCTAGGGCTGAAAGCACACTGTGGAGTTCTATATTGACGAGCCTGGAACTCTCATACTTTATACGTGATATTATCAAGCACCAAATAAAATTAATTAATCAAGCAGCAGATCATAAAATTTCATTGCGATCGGACACTAAAATTAAAGGTAAGCTTGCAGAGGCAAGAAGATTTCGTGATAAGATAAGAAAACTCTATGGGAACCTAATATACTCAGATGGACAATCTTCTATATACGCTGTGACTATGAGATCTGACTTATACAATTCCAATGATTTAACTGGATATAAATTGTCGGTTACTGATTACGAGAACTTAATAATGCTTGAATTATACAACAAAAAAATTGATTTGGCATCGAAATGGTTTCAGAGATTTGAGCAGCAATATCCACAAGGCCAGCACTATGAATTAATGACTTATGACATGTGGGTCCTCAAGTTTCAAGTATATTGTGGAGGCTCGCCAATTTTATGGAAAATACCAGAAACAGATTTGTATGCAAATTATTATAATCCCCGTAAGAGTGCGTTTAAAGCAGAAACTTCATGGTTGGAAGTATTCACAGAGTATTTAAAGAATCAAGGAAAAAGTAGTAATACAGCAGCAATAAGCGACAAATTAAATGAAACGCTCATTTATTCGATAGGATATGCAAGAAACCTTGATTATTTAACAAAATACATCGAAAGCGTTTGGGGTATAACACCAGGTGGTAATGTATCCGAGAATTTTGTTATGTTAAAAAGTGATGATCCTAAATTTCCAAGTTTGAATACCTTGAAGGCAATAGTTATGTCATTGTCCTACAATGAAGAATTTTTTCAGGCCATGACCTACGTAAACGCATTCCAAAAGATTTATGGAGATTCTATTGATTTGTCCAGTGCAAAGGCTAAGAATTTTTGGGATAGCACATTTAAATGGTGTGACATTTCAACCAAATTCCATGAAGAGAGGGCACTTTCCTATTATATAAGGCAAACGACAGATACCAGTACACGTAAGAAAAAAAAGCACAGTCTCAAGGAAGCTCAAGAGAATGCTGACTTTGATTATGAAGGATTCTTATTGTTCATTAATGAGCTTAAGTCCAAGAGATCGACGACTATGAACAAGTTATGGGACCTCCACAAAGATACAAATACTTTCTTCTCTCCAAAGTCATATAAAGTCTACTTGAATTATTTGCTTGAGGATCAAACTGAAGAGAACTTTTATGATTTTATGAGCTTGTTGGCCAAGCAATATCACTATTATCATGTTTCGAAGGATTCCTTCAACAAGATGCATTTGACAACTAACAGACTTAACGATACCGACGAAAGTGTTTATTCATTATATAATACGGCATTGCGTGAATTAATTAATGTCAAATGGAAAATGGGTTATGCTGGCCAATGCCAGCCATTAATCGATGAATGGGCATTGGATCAACAGATGCACAATAATACGTCTCAGTGGTTTAAACATACTATAATGCCACAATATAGGGATATGATGGAAAAGAAAAGGGAAGAGGTTATGATTAAACAAAAGACTGAGGATGATGAAACGCTTTTAGACTTATTTTAAACCAATATTCATGTATAGATAGTATAGTAAATAATCATTCCTATTACCAAAAGTAGTGCATTTACCAAGAAAATCTGGTCGAACACCTTGTCCATAATCGCGTTGATCAAACATCGGACATAATTAATATTGTTGTTGTAAACTGATTAAAGTATCTATAGTATAGTAATAACATAAAATGGCTTCTGAAGGATTAGAAAAGCTTACTGAAGTTCCACTCGAGTTCTTCAAGGATGGTAGTGCATTCATTAAGAAATGTCAAAAGCCAGACAAGAAAGGTATGTACAAGCATGAAACTCATAGGATGTGGTCAATGATAGAATTTTACTATATTTGGAGAAATATACAACATAGAATCAAATACTAACATTGGTATAGAATACATGAAGATCATTAGAGCTGTTGGTGTCGGATTTGTCATGATGGGTGTTGTTGGTTACGCTGTCAAATTATTACACATTCCAATCAGATATTTAATTGTTTAAGGTTTACAAATGCCAAATGCTTCTTCCCAATGAACAGGGGTATATGACTGTATGTTTCAGTTATATTCTTTGTAAATAATGTATTCATTTTATTAGTTCAGGTAACAATTGAATAATATTTCTTAGTTTAAAATTTATAAAAAATGTATTGTTATTACAGCACATAGGGAATTGCCCAGGAATCTATCCTGCGGTTCTTAATATATATCTTAATGGTGCCAATATAAGTATATTTGATTAATGATAACGTAGGATCGGTAGGCTTCAGACTTCTGGATAGAATCACGTGACCTCTTCTCATCTAATTTTTTTTTTCAGCTATGTTAAAGCTACATCGTTAAACAGCCTTTCATTCGTTTGTATATACTTACTACCAGTTTAATATCGCCATGTCTCAAACATCTGGTTTCGTAAAGAAGTTGGCAGCTAATGATCGTAAAGTAAGAGATGCTGCTTTTGAATCGTTAAGGAAATATTTATCATCTCGTTCCTCTTCCAAATTGACTTTGTTAGAAATGGAGAAACTATGGAAAGGATTATACTATTCGATGTGGTTATGTGACAGGCCTAGACCACAAGAGAGATTAGCTGAAAGCTTAGCACAATTATATTCAGAAGTGATTCCCGTTGCAGCTTTCAGTGATTTCACAGAGGCCTTCTGGGTGATCATGATAAGAGAATGGCCAAATATCGATCAATGGAGAGTAGACAAATTCTACTTACTCATAAGAAGAGTGTTGAGACATAATTTTAAACGCTTGAAGAATGAGAAATGGTCATCAAAGCTCGTAGATTCATTTTTGTCTATTTATGAAAAACATCCATTGAGCGGTGATAAATCAGTAAGTGTTGCATTACCATACCACATTTGTGATATTTATCTTGATGAATTAGAGTTAGTGATATTTGAAGAATTGAAGGACAAACAACAGGCATTGGACGAACAAGAAAAGAAAGATATGACAAAATACCAAGAGTTAGTCAAACAAAAGATAGAAATTGCTTCTGAGATTCCTATTCAAAAATTGATAGCTCCATTTCAAAAATTAAATAAGGATTGTCCTTTAAAAACTTTGAGAGAGAAGTGTAAAGAAGAAGTTTTGGATGATGAGAGATTAAAGGATTGGGGTGTTTTTGAAAGCGAGGATAGCGATAGTGAAGAGGAGGAAGATGATGATGATTGGGAAGGATTTAATTAGCATTATATAGAATTATAGTATTTTTTTCTCTTTGTTTAGTAAAAAAAATACAGTGTAATATAGTTGCAGGTTTTATTAGAAGATAAATGATTTTTGCGAACTAACTTAACAAAATCAAACTCATTAAAATTATATATTATTTACACTAAGATATTTATGGCATGTCACCGCAAGAACATAAGCCTGAATATGATGCAAATGGTAAAGAGGTAAATCCTTATATTCCGAAATTTATCTCGACGGTGCCCTGGTATCATAATAACTTGAATGATGAGAAGAGTGAAGATTATTTATCTCATCAAAGATCTAACGCAAACGATGAGGCCATTGATCACAGTATTCCACAACCTGGGAGTGGTATCAATGATGAATTCGAGATAAAAGATGAAACAGAAATTAAGAAGGTTGAAGATTACGATTCTAAAAGAGATAGATGGCACGGGTATGAAGCACAAGAATGGGATAAAATTGTTGAAAACTGGGATAAAATAAAAAAGAAGAAACAAAAACTGAAGAATATTAATATTCAGGAAGATAGTGATGATACAGATTATGAGCTTGAGCTAATTGAACTCGGATTGGATCTGAAAGATATAAAAAATAATCTCAAAGAAGATCCTTTAGAAAAGACGATCAGAGATAGACAAGACGTACCGGCATACATTTTGAATATCACATCATCGAACAAAATACATTATGACCCAAAATCAAGATTAACAAAGGACCCTTCAAAGGGATATATTAATGACAAGAATCAATTCGTGAAGAAATTGACTGGAGAAGCAAAAAGGTTGGATAGCCTACAAACATTTGCCTGGGAACAGAGTAAACAAAAAGAAGAAATAAATCAGCGAAAAGCGTTCGAGAGGAAATTAACAGGTCAAAAGCAATCAGAAACTGATTCTGATGAATATAAAGTAGATTTGAACTTAAATATGGAAGCCAATCCTACCGCAATGATGCTCCAAGCCAGATATCAACAAGAGCAACAGAATGAAGCGAAACAAAAGAGGAAAAGAGAGCTATTAGCTAAATATGGGGGAGGGGACTTTTTAAGTAAGCCCCAGGAATCTGTCCAAGTTAATGAGGTGATTAAAACAATCGACAAGTCTTTAAATAAGGATAAAGCTGGGTTAAAAAGATCTATATATCGGGAGGATAATTATGCCATGAACCACAAGAGTATTTGGGGTAGTTACTACTTGAATGGAGAATGGGGCTATGACTGTTGCAAACAAACAACTCGAAATGCTCGATGTACGATCGACTAGTATGACTTTCTATATTTGTAAATAGTGTAAAATAAGTAAACTACATAATCGCATTTCTCCAATATTTACTCTTAACGCCCACGCCCTGTTCCATTTGAATGAGTTCAAGTTCCGGGAAACACTCATATTTGATAATATCTTGTAATATTATTATATCACGACCATTATTGGTCATCATATTCAACCGCTTAAATTTTATAAGTTCCGTCAAAAGTACACCCCCAGTTGTATGATCAATCAAGGACTTAAGATAATTGTCCGTATTCATATTTTCCGGTGAAAAATAATATAGAATTTGGTTTTTGATTTCATATATGCGATAGGGACTGGGTATGGGGTCTACTCGTGCATGGACTGGATGATAGTATGGATTGTACGGCATTTGGTACATATCAAGTGGGGGAGAAGGCGATAACTGATGAAAATAAGGATGTATTGCGGATGGTGGTAACGTAGCAAAGGATTCAGAGACTTTTCCCTGCGGTAATGGATATCCATCCGGTTTATGTCCCATCATCGGAATGGGACCTGGCATATGTGTTGGCATGGGCATGGGTATGCTATTATTGACGCACATCGATGGGTATGTTGGTGGTATAAGATCAACAGGGTTTCCAAACGGGTATCCTCCATAGGATACTCCAGGCGCCTGGTAAAAATTCCCTCCTCCAAAAAGATCGTTAGTCATTGTTACATTTGGATAAGCTGTGGGTGAGTGTACTGCCAGCGACCCTGTCCTTCGACGACTGCGATTTTTGATCGTTGAGGTAGCATCTTTTCTAGACCAAGTCTTGTTCTTAAACCTAGGTCTTACAACTGTTGTGTTTTCTCCTACACACACAAGCTCACGGCGGTCTGTGTCGGTTGTGTTCATGTTAGTCTTCATAGCTCCTGGCTTATGTTCTTTTCCAATATGTACTCGATTTGCGGCCTCTAACGTGCCCTTATATCTATTCATATTCTCTTTACTCGACACCTCCTCATTAGCCTCTGAATCATTTCTGTCAGTTTTGATTCGATTGCCTGTTCGAATCGTATTCCATGCGTTGAACGTTGGCGTCGGTGCCGGGGTGAGTTTTTTGATAATATCCGCCCCTGTTCCCATTGTCAATGCCTCTCTTAGAATTTATATGACGTTGTATCTACCAATATATCTTTTCTTTATATTTCTGAGTTGTAGACTTCAATATTCACTAGTTCTGTCGCTGTTAGAACCTCTTAATTACATGCACCAAAGTAGCTGCAAATAACCACAAACAAACGATTGCAAAAAATTAATCCCCCCCTCGTAATACGGTATATAAAATTATGGTCCCCCGCCAGTCGTGCCTCCACTTGCGTTTTCCCTGAAGGGTATTCTACATCCGAACACCCATAAAAGATGATTCATTTGAATAGTGTATGCAGTATCGACTATTATTCTTAAGGAAGTCTGCTTCTAGTACATATTGCAGCCTTCAGTGCATCAAAGATACAAATATTAGATACCCGTGGAGTTCTTCATTAGTGACTGAAGACTCCCCCGTGGAGGTGTCGTACCTATAGATAATAGTCGCTGGACTAGTTCAACAGGGACTCCTAACGGAATAGGATGATTGATGTTAACGACCAAACGATTAACAATGTGGTCCACACGTGGGCTTAATTTTCTACCTCGTGTGACAGTACATTTCAAGAACGTTGATGAACCACGTCCTTAAGTGCTTATTATGGCAAAATAGTGTGAAGAGAGACTCACAACGTGTTTTGCAGGCTATATAGATGCCGGAACGTGGGTTATATTGAATATAATATTTAAAGGAAGACCACTCCACCACCAGTAAGAGCATAATAGTAGACTAGAAGTTATAGATAGATATTACATACAGGCTACGATGAATCAGTTGAATGAAACCAACGAGACTATGCCTAGTCCACCGGTGTTAAAGACAACCATCATCCAATTGAACAAGGATTTAGATCAAGACGACAACAATTATGAGATTTTGACGAATGAGTACAACCAGAACAAAGAAAGTACTAGTGGAATGACCAACATATCAGCATCAATTGCGGGTAGTATTCAAAGCAAAAAAAAACGGAGGAGATCTTCTGCTAATGTGGATTCCGATGAGCTTCTCAAGAGGAAAAACGACACCAAGCAACTCCATTCGATAATCGAAAAAAGAAGAAGAATCAAGATTAATCGGGAGTTTGAAGCATTGAAATACCTTATACCGGCTTGTCGCTTAACTTCTTCAGGCAGTGGCCCAAATGGTAAGAAGGGAGCAGGCACTAATAATGGAAGCAAGATCGATGGAATGTACAAACTTACCATTTTGAAATCGTCTGTGGAATACATACTATATTTGCATCACATTATACAACAACAGCATAACTTGATAAGGGCCAACGACAACAAATATAAATTTGACATAGATTTTGCCAGGATTCCATTGGATGTCAACACTTATAGAAACATAAACAAGGATTTTAACTTTAAAGATTTGATTACAAACATTGAAGATGCATCTTCTTCTAATAGTCCCAAAGATCGCGATTCAGTAATTGAAGAGGACTATGAGGAGGACCCAGCGAACGAGGATACAAACCAATTGTTGAGCCCAGATATAACGCCAGACATGGCTCCTGTGTTATCAATGTTAAACAAATATACACCTATGCCCAGAGAATCGGACTCATCTTCTGTATCTCCAAATGGTGGGTTGCAAACTGCGATGTCTTGTCCCACGACAACTGATAACTCTCCATATAATAATCCAATCAGGAATTGTAACTCTGTGTCTGGAAAGTTCAATAAGTTCCAGTTACCAGATCCCGCTTTAAATCCTACCGAATACGACAATGATGAAACTAACCAATATCAATATGGTCCAAAAAGAAAACTATTCAAAGCCAAAATTCCTCCAAACAATACGATTTTGTTCAATCGTCCTTTAAACATCAAATGTGCTTCCTCTGATAGAATACGCGAAGATAAGTTGTCTGATCAAGACGCTTCAAAGACTTTGTTAGCTTTAAGAAAATCTAGCATTGACAGCTTATTAAATTGATGAATAAATGGTTTTGTGTCTATCAAACTGGGATTCGAACTAGAATGGATTGTATAATTTTTCGTTTATTTCTATTTATTGCTATTAATTCAACAATTTATTTTCTTTCAAGTATTCAATGTATTCATCAATAACACTAGGCCATGCAGACATTTCGTCGTAGTCTTCGAAGTTCGATGGATCTTTTAATGCAATAGTTTTAATGAAGAGAAAGAACATTTTCCATGTATCGTTCGATAAACCTCGCTTGTATTCGTTCATTATGAAATCAAACCATTGTTCTAATCTAGTATAACAAGGTTCAAATTCTTTTTTATTCATTAAAAGCAATTTCCAGTAATCCACTGCTAACTCATAATTTAGCAATCTTTGACCTGGTACTTCCATTAAGAAACCGAAAGTAAAATTATAAAGTTCTTGAAATAAGCTGTCATTGGTTTCCAAGCTATTGTGTAGCTTCAAAATAAAATCTCTCATACCACTAAGTGAATTTATCCTATCTTTTTGCCACTTATATAAAAACTTTTCTTTAGTAAAGACACCCATGGACGGTGCTTCCAAGAAAAATGCTAATGTTAAACTTATGGGGTGTTCCGGATCGAAGTCTAAGTCTTCAAGGTATGCAATTGTTCCATTTATATCAATTTTATTTTCGTTATTAGAGTCTTTATATTTGTCATAAATAGCATTCAATTTGGCATCAATTTTAAGTGGTTTGGAATTCATATGTTCTTCATGATTCAAGTAACCATTTATGGCCTCTTGGAGTTTCCAATCGTATTTTTCTAACCACTGAGTAGCTAAACTTGTGGGTGCTCCTGTTACAGTAACAAAGTGCAGTTTGAATGATGTTCTAGTCGCCGAAGGTATCTTTGGCTGTTCAGGCGGATGTTAGTGTTTATATATTTAAATTGTAGCATGTTCATTATATGATACGTACCATATTCAATACTATATTAAGTCTATCTTTAGTGGAAATATATAGATAGATCCGTTGGAAATAAAATTTGTGAGCGCATGTCACCTTTTCAGATACAGAAACAAACAATCAACAAACACATCGTTGTTCCAAATTCATAAAGATATCTAATGTTCAGGACGATATAATAGAAATTTGAGGAAGTATAATGACTACTATACCTCTTTCGAAAGAAATATTTAATCAAGTGATTCCAATTCCTACACTCCAAGATTTGGCGGCTAATTCTTCAAGTTCAGATCAACAATCAAATAATATAGAAAATGATATTGATTACTTGCTTCATTGGCTAAGTCCATTTTGGCCCGACAATACTATGTTTGTTGAGCCATCGGCCAGAGTCAAGGCTGCTGTTAGAAGCTGCCTCAGGGATGAGGCTAGTCAATTGGATTTTGTCAAGTTATACGGAAATTCTATTAAACCGAAGTTTTTTGAAGAATTATCACCTTTATTGTTGGATGATAGAGTTTCATTGATTGAAGCAATTGACAAAATTAAGTTTATAAAGGATTACTATAGCCAATATATCAAGTATTTGAATTTGAATAAATTGCCTTATGATATACTAACGAGGAACCTAAATTCATTATTTCATTCAATCTTAGTCGAAAATAAGAAGTCCAAGTTTATAAACAAGCTAACCAATTATCTATATGAAATGTTGTTTGGTTCTGAAAGAAGCCTACAAGGCCCAGTGCAGAATTATATTCAGGTATTATTATCTATTGAATTAGTCGATGAATTGAATTCAATAATAATAGGCTTATCAATTAAACAAATAAAGGATTATATACTTGCAACATGTACAAAAGTATGGAATAAACCATTGTTGGAAGAAATCAATCATTGGATTAAACTGGATTTATTTCCCAGCTTTAATTTGGTAATGAGACTATCCAGTTTTGACTTTTCGGAGAAGTATTTATATGATTTAATTAAAATTGCCCATGACGAACTAGTTTCATTACGGATAAAAGAGATATTCGATCTTGTGGTAGATTATCCAAATTCATATGTTGCTTTATCAGAATTGCACCAATGTCTCCTGTTCAAGCTCAACTCTCATAATACCGGTAGTAATATATCCAACTTGAGCACTGTTATCAATTCAAACATAAATACGTCTGAAATTGATTCTGCAAATTCATTAATATCTATTTCAAATCTTTCATCCATACTCATAAACAATTCGGCAAGTTCGCAAGCGTATCAAAGAGCTAAGTTGGTAGATACATTTATACAACTATGCCATGAAGAATTGCTTCATTCGGGAGCAAATACTGTGGATGTCATAACATGTTACACGTCTACAATCAAGTCGTTTTTAATTATTGATCCAAAGGGTGTATTACTCGATAGAGTAGTTAGACCGATCAGAAGATATTTAAAAACAAGAGAAGATATTATTATTAAATTGGTGCATGGCTTATTGGATCAAAGTGAAAACAATGATCTACTTGAATTAGCTCAAGAATTAAGAAAGGGAAAGAAGAAGACAATTATAGCAGATGATTTCATGGATTTGACCTGGGTACCTGATCCTATTGATGCATTGCCCGACTTCAAAAAAAGCAAGGTGACAGATATAATAGAATCGTTAATATCAATTTTTGACCTGAAAGAAATATTTATAAATGAATTCACTCAATTATTTGGTCAAAAGTTGATTAATTTACACGATTATGATGTAAAAGATATAACTGATCATCTAGATTTATTAAAATTACGATTTGGAGAGAACGAATTTACAACTTTAGATATTATGATTAAAGATATCGAACAAAGTAAAACGACAAATGAAAAGATAAATTGTGACAAGGAGTACTTGTTTCACTCGACAATTCTTTCCCATTTATATTGGCCTTCGGTTTGTGAAAATATCTCACATAATGATAACTTTAAACTACCAGATGCTATTTTGAATCAGTTCGACAGCTTTGATAAAGATTATGCGGAGGTTAAAAAGGGACGAGGTTTAAAGTTAATTCCTAGCCTAGGATTGGTTAAACTTAAATTACTGATTAGGAAAACTAATTTATCATTTGAAGTAACTCCTGATAAAGCGTCAGTAATATCGTTATTTGACGACAAAGTTGATGAATTGACGTTAGCAAACATCTCCAACCTCTTAGATATGCAACCCTATGTTGCCTCAAAAGCTATAGACTACTGGGTAAAGCAGAATGTTTTGAAGGAAACATCTAAAGATACCTACATGGTAAATGAGTGACGAGAAATACAACTCGATATGAAGGCGACAAACAACACAAATATATTTATTTGAAGGAAGTAGTATATACTCACTAATTAATGTTTCCATTTACTGATTTAGATATTTCTACACCAGAAACTTTTTGGTTATAACTTGGATTTGGTTGCCATTTTCTTGTAGTTCTGATTTCATCCATTGCATATCCTGGAATCCTAATATTCCAATTTCTTTCTAAATGTAATTGAACATCTCTGACATCAACAGAATCTACTTTACGGTGCTTGGCTAGTCTGCATGCAAAACCCGTAACTGAAGTTATGAATTCGTCTGCTAGATCAAGTAAAAGTTCTTCAACATCACCATCAATATTAGTTTTGCCATCTCCTTCATCAGCCCCTATATTATTTACTAGTTCAGATAATTTCCTTTTAGTTAAGACTCTACCACCATTATCGGGGATGGAACCCCCAGCACTTGAGCTTGAAAGATCATAAGTTGGTAATTTTAGAATAGCAGGAGTTCCTAAAATTTGACCAATACCATTGGCAACACCGCTCGATAAAGTGGCTCTATTATTGTTGGTCGTTGGCTTCAATGTCACTGCAGTCGGAGGTTTTACATTAATAGAACTAGAAATAGGAATTGATGGTACACTCGGTTTTGTAATTCCAGATAAGTTAATAGGGGGTACTCCATGAGAAGATGATTGCAGACCAGGTCCAGACTTGCTGGGCGTGGCATTTACGTTTGTTGGAGGTGGTGATGCTGACTTACCCCTAGCTGGAATAGATGCTTGCGTATTTGACAATGTTCCCGCATCAGGAGGAAGAGATCCTTGTTTCGGAATAGATGGAGAGTTTATACCCTGTGACGTAATATTACCTGTCAGTGGAACTCTCTGATTGGCAACAGTACCTGGTGTCGGAGCATTACTCATCCCTGGAGCACTTGTAACGTTTGACTTAGCTTGTTCAACTAACTGGGATTTGATATATATAGCATATCTTTGGTACTGTGCATACTTGCTTTTCAATTCAGTTAACTGGCTCTCTATAGATGTTACTTGTTCAGGATTCAAATTATAAGATTTCTTGCTGTTTTGAAGTTGCTGAATTTTCCTTTCAAATTCACTCAAGCGTGCTTTCGCCTGGTTAAACTTTTCTATTGTTGCTGCATTATTATTATTACCACTTGCTGGGATAGTAGGTGCTGGAGAAGCCGAATTAACGGGAGATTGATGTATTGGTTGAGTCTGGTTGAGCACGGGTGATTGACCCTGTGGAGTTGGCTGTGGAGATGACTGTCTGTTCATAGGCGTAATTCCTGCACTTGCTGGTTGATTAATTTGGTTTGATGAACCTACGTTTTGTTGTTGTTGCTGAGCTTTTCTCGCATTTTGTTGATCTCTATAATTCAACAACACTTGTTTAATAGATTCGGCTTTAGCATAATGTTGTTGTGCCTTGGCTATATCATTTCCTGCTGCCTTTGCTAAACTAACTTCATTTCTTAATGCTTGAGCTAATTGATTTACTTGGCTTGGTTGAATTGAGACAGGTCTTTGAGGCATTTGCCTGTTCTGAAGATTTGGCGTAGAGGCACCCGACTCTGGATTTCCAGATGTATTCATGTTATCACCGCTATTATTGCTATTCATTATCCAGATGCCAATAGATAGATTTAAGATTAATTACCTCTAAAGATATCAACTATAATGGTGATATTAATTATCTGTTGGTTCTACGAAAAAGCTCAGAATTACTTTTCACGTGACTAAATACTATAATGAATTGATTTGTTCTATACAACTCTATATATGATTGTTAGAGGGCAAAACAACGTTCGACGCTTTGCTCATTGTTGCCCCACCAATGTGGCATCCTTACTGTTCTTCCAAACGAAAATAACAAAAATATTATCAAGACTGCAAGATTATATCCAGTATCAAATGCAGCAGCTAGAATGTAGTTATATGATTTCCACAAAGAATGCCTATAATTATATGCCCAGTACATTGTTGCTGTTCCACCTATAAACTTAGAAGCATACCCAGTCGAAAGATTACCATAGAATGTACTCAAAGTGGAAAAGAATACGGTAGTATTCCATAAATGAAACCTTAACCTTGAATTGGGATATCGTCTATGCAAAATATATAATACAACTGGAGCTATCACTCCTAGAAGAAAACCATAAGGTAGTAATGGGTAATGATAAAATAGCCTCCGTGGTCCCAAAATAACATAATTGATTGCATTAGTGTGATAAGATGTGATTGTTTGCCCTGTCCATTGATGCAAAGGGTCCTCTTTAGTTCCGTCAAGATATTCTCTTTTAGTATCAAGGACCCATCTTAAGGCAATGTAGTTAAATGGAACACCAATAAATTCTCCGTATATTTGAGAAAAAAAGACTGCTTTAGGAGGTAAGTGAATATAGAACCCAAGTCTCATACAAAGTAAATGATACTGAGCTCTATACCACGCACTCCCCGATATTGCTCCGAATACAACTGCACTAACTGGATGAATTGACTTGATATTCTGGACCATATAACCATAAAATAGCTCATTGAATGTTCCAATGGCTAATTGGAAATTCGATAATGCATACAACCAGCTTAAAGGGGTAACAATAATAGAGCCTAAACCCAATGCAACAACACAGCACCACCATGGCAAAAACATATGTCCAGATAAAAAAATAAACATTAGTGTTGAAAAAGAAATAAGGAACAAGATTAAATACCAAAACATGGGCACTTCCTCGTATTTGGCTTGCAATTTGTTTAGTTTATCTGTATACTGTAAATGAATAGAAGTAAAACCACTCTTTTGATTCTCAGCCGAGTACGTACTTTTCAAAACATTTAGAGAGCTTCTCAATTGATCATATCCAAACAAAACAACCCAGACTATACCACTAACATAAGCAGCATAATCAAAAAACATATTCCATGCTCTCTGCGCTCCCAAATTAACAGGGCCGTAATAGTTATAAGCAGTTACATTCAACGTCAAATCATCAGCCAATAGTTCGTTAGTCGGATATCGCGTTCCATTATTCAAGAATAGCGAATTTGACATAAGCCCATGCTTAAAAGAAGTGATTCCTCCCCATTTTACCAACGGAATCATAATCCATGCACCCAAAACGAATCCCAAAAATTGAATCACTTGGATCCAATATGGATACAACATAATAGACGATGTTATATTTGCCCAGTCTAAAGAAAAATTTAAAACTCCCATACCACCCATACCTGATCCTATAAAGTTAACAGTCTTGTTATAGGGCGCAATCCAGCATAGTATGGCCAACGATGATGTAAGTGGAAATACAAACTCTGGAAGAAATTCCCAAATTGTGACCCCAAATAACGCATAGAAGAATACTTTCATTTGCATAGAACCATGTTTCGAGTCCCTATCCGATCTAGCTTGTGACTGTAATAGAGTGGTTTGCATTAAAGCTTGAGGCCATGTAAATTGCGGATCATATAAAACAAATGATTTCGCTATGGCTGCATAAGAGTACCCAATAAATACAATAGCCCACATAAAAAGTATAGCAATCAGTGCATCTACCTTTTCATTAAAATGCAACTCGGCTAAAGAAATAGCATTGGTAGCTAAATTACCGGTAGCACCACTATTAACAGTAATTGTTATCATTGCCGTTTCTTTTATGGACCAAGGACCTGGATTTAAATTGAATTTAAAACCAAGTACCTGGATATTCCTCTTCGGAAGACTTTTCGCCAACCATTTACCAGCCCAATGAGAAACAATCTGAACAAAAAATATTGAATATACTGCAGACGTGGTACGATACGAATTCATGGTATCAAGGAATGCTCCAGGTACAATAAAAATTGTAGATAGTATAAAATAACGAAACGTCATCACTGGTATGTCGGGGTCATCTTCTAGAGGCACTGATTCTCGAACGACCTTTGGCAACTCTAATACATCCTTATCTAACTGTACTGAATGTACATTTTCCTCGTCCGTGGAACCATAGATTTTTTTATAACTTCGTTTAGTAAGAGAGCTTGAGGTAGAAAGAAGTGAATCTGTTTGATATCCATTGACACTCAGATCGTTCACTACTTTGTTATCAGCATGTACGTCGTTTGAATTACCCATTCCAAGCTTCCCAAATCATCAAATAACCTTTCTCTATCTTGTCTATCAAAGTTTATTATCTATCTATGTTATATATACTATTAGAAGATAAGATATTTCCATACTGATTAGAAATACAATTGGTGATATCACGTGGATTTCTTTAAATATTCAAGATTCTTTCTATCACAGCCAATATTTCATCATTAGAGTTAGTAGATTCATCTTCATCGCCAGAATAATGGGGATTTGAAAGCTTATCTTCTATCAATGAGTCTAGTAATATCCTAAGCCTCTTTATAAGAACACCATTTTTACACCAAGTCCTAATAGGCATCCAATTATCTAAAACAATACCTGGCGATGATTTTCCAGTAGCGACATGGCTTGTCATATCGTAGGCAATATCACCTCCAAATAACAATGCAGCGATGGTACTTGTTGGGGTTATGTCACGTAAATAGAGCTTTTGCGTGTAATGAGAAGTACCATAAGCCACAAATGTTGCTTTTGCAGCTTTGCTAACACCTGAAACTTTAGGCTTAAGATCCTTGTACATTTGACGAACTTTGTCGATGTCTTCTTCATTGGCAAAATCTTCATTACTAGGGATATTTGAATCATTCAAATTATTGGTCTCGAATAAGACGGATGAAGGATGAAGAAATGCCCTTGTGGCTGGTAAAATGTCGTTTGTTTCCACCCCGTTAATAATATTCTCAATGTAATTCTCATTTCTAATCCAGAATTTCGTTTGTTTCGCATCTGGGTCAATCTCAATAGCACCCACCAAAGATTGTACATACTTAGGATCAGGAAGCTGTATCCTGGCGATTTGAGGATAGAATGCTGATGTAATAATTGCTCTTACAATGGAATAATTCTCATTATTCCTATTTAGCGACTTGTAATTCTCGTTGTTTGTATTTCTTGAATTATAGCTTATAGCAACGAATCCAATATCCTTCAAGATAGAGACATACTGTGTCCTTGTTGATGCTATTTCCTTTAAAGTTAAATATGACAAGAAATTTTCGCTAAGAAATTTCTTTGCATTTTTGCTTTCGCTTTTTAAATCTTCATATTGCTTGAAAGCATTAGTCATTCCGATTAAATCACCTTGGCCTTTAGAAAATGAATTTTGTATTAGTTTAATTTTGTCTCTGTTTTCAAAATTATTCAAAAATGGACTACCAGTTGATCGAATAGCTGCCAACGTTAAACAAGTCTCTAAGCACCCAAAAATACAGCCAAATATCAATAGCTTACCACTAAGTAGATCAGTAGGTAACATTGACAAGTATTTACCTAGGTGGGATAAATTATCATTCTGTAATGCCCCAATTTCTGTTAAAATTTTCTTGGATTTAGATAAAGAATGTTGATCTGGGGGATCTAAACCACCATTTAAAAATTCTTCTACTTTTTTAATACCCATGGCCTTAACAACCAAATATAAGTTTTCCAATCTTGTTCTCTTGATTTCTGGAATTGGCTGATCAAGCATTTCTTCTTCGGTTTCTTTCGTATACAAGTGATAACAATTACCGTTTGTTATACGACCTGATCTTCCCCTTCTCTGACTTACTTCTGCTTTTGAACACCAATTCTCAATTAATTTAGTTGTATGTATCTTCGAATCAAAGTATAGGGTTTTTGATCTTCCACTATCGATAACAACAACACAATCAGGAATAGTGATAGAAGTCTCTGCCACATTGGTTGAAACGACAATCTTTCTAGTATCTTTGGGTGGAATTTTGAATACTCTCTTCTGATCTATAGAAGATAAGGCCGAATGCAAAGGTAAACACCATTTCTTTTTTCCATTCACATCAAAGGTCGAATCAATATTTCTAATGCATTTATTAATTTCCATTATACCAGGTAAAAAGACCAATATTGATCCCTTGTTCAGTTTTTCAGTCAACTCTTCATCAATTTTTAGGCAAAGACTAGCTATTAAATCATAATTAATATTTCCCTGCTTAAAAAAATGAGAATCAGGCTTGGGCTTTATAATCTGATCATTTGTAGTTATAGTATAGTCTAAGTCACTCAAAATCGAATCCAAATAATAGTCTTTAATAGGAAAAGTTCTTCCTTCAATGTGAATATGGTTTAGATCCATGCTGAAAAAGTTTCGGAATTTATCCACACTTATTGTGGCTGACATTAAAATAATCTTAAGTTTTGGAAATTTCTTCATTATTTTTTTCAAAATAACCAAAAGAAAGTCACTATCAACAGATCTTTCATGAACCTCATCAATGAAAATGTATTGTAATTTGTCGAAAATTCCGGTTTCTTTTTTATCTGAAGAGGTCAATAGGGATTGGAGCATCCTCAATAATACACCAGTAGTAACAAAAGATATTCTTGTTTGATTAGTCGTCTTATTTTCACCTCTAATAATATATCCTGTTTCGTTACCTAATACGTCTCTTCTTTCTTCTGAAATTCTTTCTGCTAAGCCAATGGTGGAAATACGTCTTGGTTGTGTACATATGATTGAACTTTCAAAATCATCTGTTGAATTTAGATAATCTAATATAAACTGAACGATTTGCGTCGACTTTCCCGACCCAGTTTCACCAGTCACAATGGTAACCTTATTTGAATTTATCACTGATACCAACTCATCTCTTTTCTTCCAAGCGGGCAATTCGCTTCTTTTCTTTAAAGAGTTCAACATTTCTTTAGATTTTAATTTCGAGTGATATTCCTTTCTTAAATTGTCTATATCCTCAGGCAGTAATCTAATTTCTCGCTTGGTTTTAAAGGATTTTTTCAATGATATAGCTCGGCTTTTTTCTCTTGACATTCTGAGATTTAAGGCTTCTTGAATCAAAGGGCCTGGATTATCAATAATATGCGATATATTATCTTCTAACCATTCAACTATTGCAAATATATAACAGTCTCCTAAAAATCCATTTTTTATGATATAATGAATCAATTGTCTTAAGATAGATAACTTGATATAATTCGCTAATTTAAAGGAGTTATTATTTACAATTATTTGGATACCAGGTAAATCATTCGGATAATTTTCACTCTTGTATAACTTTAGACTTAATAAATCATCTTGCTTAAGGTTTTTTGGGCGCAAGCTTATAGAAACTATCCTATTGTTAGAGTTTTCAAGGTAGTGAACCCTATTTGAATCAACCATTTGAATTCCTTCGATTTCTTGTTCCCACAATTCTTGTGAGTCACTAAAATCTTCTTGCACTGGCGTGTATTCAACTATTCTGTGTGTTAATTGTATGCAAGTCTTTAATTCGTCATTCTGATTCTCTTCAAGAGTTGTTAAAATCTCATCCTTATCAAAACCTGATTGACTTATTCTATTAACCAAATATTCAAATTGAATATTTTTAGATATCTTTAAAGATACGTTAGAATCTTGGTCAGATTTGGAAAAAAATGGTGGCAAATCGTCTTCGGGTATATGAAATAAAAGCCATTCTAGCGAATCAATAAAACTTGAAGTGTATTGAAATGATTCTTTGATATGACTTTTACGAAACCCTAATCTTTCCAAATTATGCAAATATTCCTCATTATTTTGTGAGGCACCATCTTCAATCCAATCAATATGATTTTTAATAGAATTTTCAATTGAAACACGTAACTCAGAAGGGAAGTCAATGAATGGAGCATTGGCCCAGACTTTCTTCGGGAATGATGGGCCACCAAGTTTAATATTCTTTTGTTTTTCTGTTGCAGGTTTTGAATTCAGTAGAGTACTCAGTTGCTTATTGGAAGATGCAATATTTACTGTAGGCTTACGAACTTTTAAATCATTCTGCTCTTTTAGCTTTTTTTCTTTTAAAATTTGTTCAGACTTTGCTCTTTGGTCGAGTAACACTGTGAAAGGGTTAGCGTTGTATATGGCATCATGCTTATCCTTGCTAGATTTCAATATTTCTAAGCGTTTCGTTTCCAAGAGGGACCAATAGTCCCGAAAAATCTTTGGTAATATCATTTTCATATTCTTTACATAATTGATCCTAAACAATGCATACGTTGCCACATAATGACGGGCTTCATTTGTCGTTTCCTTTGGTTCATAAGTGTCTGAATCAGGTATCATCTTGATGTGAATAACTTCCTTAGTTTTAGGATTTTCCCAGAACAAATTGGCAATCCCTATAAAACCCTTAGATGTTTTCTTCATATCAAAGATAACCTTTCCCCATTTTTGCTTTTGGCAATGTTCGTGAAGTAAGGTAGCAGGCAACTTTCCAGTCCAACCAAAATTATCACCAATAGCTAAACCCCTTTGAGGCTTTTTGACCTCCTCCACCTCTTCAATTGGCTTCTTATTCTTCTTCTTCTCTTTAACTTCGGGGTTTACTTCCTTTGTTTTCTTCTTGCCCATAGTTATTGATAGTAATTTCCCAGCTAGTATGCTGAAAGATGTGAAAAAAAAAAAAGTTGATTTGAGATCTAGAAAAAAATAAAAAAGAAAGGAATTGACACGGACAGGAATTGAACCTGCAACCCTTCGATCTGGAGTCGAAAGCTCTACCATTGAGCCACCGCATCACCCTTGAGAAATATTAGGAGATAAGTATATATCTGGTATATATCATAAATACACATTTGACCTCAACGTATTATCTTAACTATTATACTGTACTTTGATAAACGAGATTACAATATATTTCAAAGTGTTACAAAATAGTCGTCTATGACACATGCTAACAGAGCTGTCTGAAACAGATAAAGATAAATATATGGGCCTTTTCTGCACCATCGGTATATTTTGTACCGACAATTTTGAATACGCTTTACTGCATAATGATATCATCGCCACTACATAGGTATAACATAAATACACATTAACAATAAATCAAACCTAAACCTAACCCAAATCACTAAAAAAATATATAATAAAATATGAAGAATCACTTCATAAAGGGATTGTTTATCATGAAACTGTCTATATTTTCAGTATCCATTACATTCAATCCTTGGTAATTAAGATTTTGCAACTTAAATGCATCAGAAGGTAACGATGAAATCTCTTCCAACTTTGTGCTGCTTGGCGAAATTGTATTTGTAGCTGGCGTCAGAGCTGCGCTTGAACTAGAAGAGCTGAATTTCTTCTGGAGATGAAATTCATTAACGTTATTGCTCACATATACCAGGTTCAAATGTGAATGTGAACCTACGGTATGATTAGGCTTATATACATGGCCATTATTCTTCATTTTCTGATGAGACAGAGAAAAGGGTCTTTGATTATTTAGAGAAGATGATCTCCTGAGTGAAGTATGTGCTTGGGAGGGTAAAATTGCACCTATGCTTGTAGGTGAATGGATACCATGGTTCTCGAACTCATTAGTCAATGAAGTCACGGAATTCGAATTTGATGTAGGACTGAAAAGAGATGCATTACCCGTGTTATAACCATTGCTGTCCCGGCCATCACCAATGGGTATATTATGCGCATAGGTTACCGAATTGTTCGAATCGCTTTCAAAATCAGAAAATATGTCAGTATATGCATTGCCCAATAGCATATTAGATGAGTAACCTCCAAGTGAAAACTCATCTAGATTTAACTTCTCAGTAAGACTGGTTGAAGTTGGAGAGTTATCGCCGTCCGATAAATCTTCATTTAAATTATCCGTCAATTTTGAGCCATTTTGTATCCGCGCATAATCGCTAGTCTCATTATCTTCAAAACGTTCAAATTCTTTACTGGGCCTTCCTTCCTTCTTTTCATTTTTGTTTTCATCCGTCTTTTCCTCTGCCTTAGTTTCTTCCAAGTGAGTTCTTCTACCAGGTTTGTCTAATACGTTAACCTTGTGGTCATAGAATTTCTTTGCTGCCTCTTTAATATTCTTTGAATCCGCTTCCAAGTTGGCTGCAATTAGCGCGCCATTTTCCCATTCTACTGGAACTTTATATAATAATCCCTCATTATCGATCAAATATTGCACGACCCTATTAATGGGCACAGCTTCATTTTCTTCACTAGCTTCATCTGTAAGTTCGTCTAAGAATGGTAAATGAGGTCTAGACAATTGAACCATCTTTTCCAAAGACTTCGTCAACAAGTCTAATCTGGTCTCGAGTAGTTCCACATATCCGTTGGGATGTAACTTGTCTTTAATCTTCTTCTTCTCCGTGAAGACGCAGATTTTATTATCCAACGTACAACGATTGCATGGCTTTTTACCATCACATTTAGTTTTCTTTATACGGCACGAGTCACATGCCTTTCCAACTCTCTTCTTCCTCAAATGGTGGTCATGATCTTCCAACGATGATGGGGATCCTCCTGTCATTGTCAGCTAATATAAAAGTGTGTAATCAATATGAGATGTCTGTAATAAATATTCCTCGCCAAGGATATAGTCTAGCTTTACCCTTATACTGACTTTGTATTTAGTTTGAATATGTAAACGTCTATAATATGTATGATGACCCAGTACACACTATACGGCAAAATTATTGCAAAATAAAGGCAATGTGTTAATTGTTGTTTAAAGTTATAGGACAGTGAATTCACTATATTCCTCTAACTAGTAAACCTGGATATTAAATATATAATCTATCTTAACCAATATTTTCATAAAAATCTGCACGGCTGTAGAGGATTTCTAAGCTTATATATTTATTCATCTACTTTACTAATACCATCGGAAATAAATATTTATATCCGAGAAGTATTTTCTTTTTTGGTACATTCGCATCGGTTCCAATTTTTAACGGCTCATCCGATCCTGCTTAATTTAAATGGCTCCTTACGTCAGTTAGTAGCTTTGATGCATCGTTGCGAATATTGCTCTGGACTTGCTATTACCATCTATGTACCCCACCATAAGCAACTGGCAACTAACTTGGAAATAGCCTACTTAAATGAAATAAAAAAAAACTGAACTTTTCTTCAGGATATAATCAATTCAAAATGAAGACAATTAGATTAAATTCAGGAAATAAGATTGCGGAAGTGGGACTCGGGTGCTATGACATTCCTAATTCAATGACCAAGCAAATTGTGTTTCAAGCATGTCAGACAGGTTATAGACATTTCGATACTGCAGTTCTCTATGGTAACGAACATGAAGTCGGACAGGGAATTTACCAATGGCTTGAGAGTAGCAAGGATCACAAAAGATCCGACGTATGGTACACAACTAAATTATGGAACAGCCAATGTGGATACAAGCAAGCCAAAGCAGGTATAAAACTGTGTCTTGAAAAAGTAGCTGACTTACAATATATTGATATGCTATTGATCCACTCTCCTCTCTGCGGCCCAGAAGATCGGTTAAATACATGGAAAGCGTGCCAGGAAGCTGTGGATGAAGGAATTGTTAAGAATATAGGTGTTTCTAACTACGGAAAGCATCATATTGAGCAATTATTGCTGTGGGAAGGGTTAAAATATCCACCAGCGGTAAATCAGATAGAAATCAGCCCATGGTGCATGAGGCAAGAGTTGGCCCAATGGTGTTTGCAGCAAAATATTCATGTAGAAGCATATGCTCCCTTAACGCACGGCTATAGATTATCGCATCCTCCGACCGACTTCATTCCTATTTTGGAAAAATACAATATCGATATGGCTCAACTCTTGATCAAATGGTCGTTGCAAAAAGGATATATCCCCCTCCCTAAGACCAAGACTCCCTCAAGATTGAAGACAAATATTGCGTTGAATTTTGAATTGACTGATGAAGAAATTTCAACCGTTGATCAGCCAGATGCGTATGATCCTACCGATTGGGAGTGTACTGATGCCCCATAAGTGGTTGATAGCAAGTAGACACCTAGTGAACTATAAATATACACCAATACTCAAAAATTATTTGTAGCCGGCCAGAAATAGCTCTTCTGTGATAATAATAGATTAATCCAGGTTTAGCTCAAATTTCTTTTCGATTACAAAATAATCCAATTCACAAATCTAAGTTAAGTAGCCATCTAAACTGATGATATACGAGTTCCGTTGTGCATTCTTTCCACCGGCCATAATCACTATACGACTACGTTCACTTTCATGACATCATGTTATTCTGGTTCAACTCGCGAATTACCGCTTTCAGTACACTCCGTGCCGAGGCCCCGTTATGATATGACATTTTACAAGATCCATACACCAAAACCATATTCTTCGGCCTCGTCCAAACTATGTTAGACCGCACTCAAACCATACACCGTAATCTACATCCCTACCGTACCCTAACGGTCCTTGGTCATACAAGATCATTCCTGTATTGACCCTCAGGGTGCTATTTTAGTCGCTCCCGTATGGGCCGTTTTTGTCATGCTATCACTAATCATTATGACAATTTAGATCTTCCAAACGTGTCCTCATCATCTGATTAGTGGTACCACTCCGGTCCAATAACCCCGTAAATATTCCACAGTATTTTTTATTACATCGCACTTTACCTATAGACCTGTCTAATCCTGGTTCTAACCACCTAATGCTCTACATAATTGGACTCTCCTATGTGCCTCTCCATGGTCTTCTTCACCGCCGGGTCTACCTTTGAGGGGCCCGCTTCCGCTGATCCTTCTATTTCAATTAACGGCCTCGGACTTTTGCAGCGCGAAATCACGAGAATCACCAACACTCCCGGTAATCGAAATTTCGGTCGTGTACAGCACCGGGCCACTATGGGCTTCTTTGCCCCGGGAGTTCAGCAATAAGGACATAGCGGAAAATTATAAATAAGAGTAATTCGCCCAGCAATTGACATCTAGTTCAATTTATACCTCATCTTATTATTCAATTGAATTTAATTAACTAGTAAGAATATTAAATAATTAAACATGGCTATCACTATTGGTATTAACGGTTTCGGTCGTATTGGACGTTTAGTCTTAAGAATCGCTTTACAAAGATCTGACATCAAGGTTGTTGCTGTCAATGATCCATTCATTGCTCCAGAATACGCTGCCTACATGTTCAAGTATGATTCCACTCACGGTAGATACAAGGGTGAAGTTACCTCTAAGGATGACACTTTAGTCATTGACGGTCACTCCATCAAGGTTTTCGGTGAAAGGGACCCAGCTTCTATTCCATGGGGTAAGGCCGGTGTTGACTACGTCATTGAATCCACCGGTGTCTTCACCACCACCGAAGGTGCCCAAAAGCACATTGACGGTGGTGCCAAGAAGGTTATCATTACCGCTCCATCTGCTGATGCTCCAATGTTCGTTGTCGGTGTTAACGAACAAAAGTACACTCCAGACTTGAAGATTGTCTCCAACGCTTCTTGTACCACTAACTGTTTAGCTCCATTAGCTAAGGTTATCAACGACAAGTTCGGTATTGAAGAAGGTTTAATGACCACTGTCCACTCCATCACTGCTACCCAAAAGACCGTTGATGGTCCATCCCACAAGGACTGGAGAGGTGGTAGAACCGCTTCTGGTAACATTATCCCATCCTCTACTGGTGCTGCTAAGGCCGTCGGTAAGGTTATTCCAGAATTAAACGGTAAGTTAACCGGTATGTCTTTGAGAGTCCCAACCGTCGATGTTTCCGTTGTCGATTTAACTGTCAGATTAAAGAAATCTGCTACCTACGAAGAAATCTCTGAAGCTATTAAGTCTGCTGCTAACGGTGAATTAAAGGGTATCTTAGGTTACACTGAAGATGCTGTTGTCTCCACTGATTTCTTAGGTTCTGACTACTCTTCTATCTTCGATCAAAAGGCTGGTATCTTATTATCCCCAACCTTCGTTAAGTTGATCTCTTGGTACGATAACGAATTCGGTTACTCTACCAGAGTTGTCGACTTATTAGAACACGTCGCTAAGGCTTCTAACTAACTAGCCGACCCTAAACTATAATTATTTAATTATGGTTTATCGTCCCTAGTATATATATGCGCAATAAAATCTATTTATTTTAGTAAAAATTTTACCTGTAGTAATTCAAATGGTTTGAACGTATTTATTTTGGATAATTTATTTTGGTGTGCGTATTAAACGTAAACATATCAATCAATGATTTATTTGTAACTACACATTCATTCCTTCTACCAAGCATTATATTGCATTTGTATCTTAATATTCATAGCATTTCATTTATACACAATCTATTTCATGGATAAATTATTTTTAGATCAAACGTTTAAACTATACAAATCGAATGACACCTTACCTCAGTTGACCCAACCTCAACTAGACTATGTTTCAACTATAATATGTCAGTACTTATTTCAAACTTTGGCTAACGATATAATATCTGAATACAGATCGTATCAAGATTTATTCTTGGACTTTAAAATCACTCACAGTGTAAGACAATTTAATCAATATACAATCACTTATATATCTGTGAGGCACAGAGGATTACTTCCAAGGCAAACTATAATATTTATCAAATCCCCAAATAACAACGATAAGAACCGACCGTTCAACACGTTGGTAATGATAAAAGCTACTAATGCGTCGTTGCTAAGTGTACTTATTCAGGCAATTGAAAATTTAGCCACCGAATTCCCTATAATCATAAGAGAGCTAAAATTTACTGAAGAATACCTCAGCCTAATCATAGATAATGTATCTAGTGGGCTCACTTCCATAAACAACTATGCTGAAGTTATCGGTGATGTTGAATTAATATATCTGACAAATCATCTCGTTTCAAATGATTCATTGAGGAACATTATCATTAATATCCCCGAAAAAGATATACAAAATCTAGCAGACTCGAAAGGACTTATCAGCAACATCAATGGATTCTTGAAAAGAACGAGTCAAATAAATTTTAACAATATTCCCCTAATTAGATTTACCTCACGATTGATTAATTTATCTAGAGAAGGCAAACTTAAGATATCTAGCGATAAACTACATCTAGTACGCGATATGGAATTTAATGATTATATTTCTACATCTAATCAACCACAGAATGACGCGTTAGAAGGCCAGGAAAACCTGTTTGTTTGGTTTCTTATTGGATCAATCTATAATGAAAACTTAACTACTCAATTTTAACACTATTTACGTTTTTCTAACACATACCGTTATCATTGACCAATACGTCACTATTAACTTGGTAAATACTCTCCAATTGATATAGAATTGTATATATAAACATTTATAACTAACATTCATATGTTTGTTATTTAAGGGTTTAAAATTTTTCTGCGTGTATACTCGGGTGTTGAAAACACGTACTCAATAATTAATTTTAAAATTTCAAGATAATAAAATACTATTTACATTCATTTGACTACACATCATGTCTTCATCCGGGATATATTCTGGAGAGAAAGATACTCTCCGTAGGGTGGGTAAATCCTCTGCTGAGAATGATACAGTTGACTTGATCAATTCGTTAGACGAAAATGCTCCTGATTTTGACAAGTTGAAAAGGACTCAATATGACGAAACAAAAGAATTCATCCAGTCTTTAAAGACTTTGGAGTCTTTCTTAGCGCCAATACTTTTCACGATTTTATCATTCAGTGTTAGGTTATACAAAATTGGAGTCAATGAACACGTTGTTTGGGATGAAGCACATTTTGGTAAATTCGGTTCATACTACTTGAGACACGAATTCTATCACGATGTTCATCCACCTTTAGGTAAAATGTTAATTGGTTTATCTGGTTACTTAGCCGGCTACAATGGTTCGTGGGATTTCCCTTCTGGAGAAATGTACCCTGATTACATTGATTTTACAAAAATGAGAATCTTCAATGCTACCTTCTCCGCCTTGTGCGTTCCTTTAGCTTATTTTACCTTTAAGCAGATAGGTTTCACTATTGCCTCAACCTGGTTATTTACCTTGATGGTTTGTTTGGAACTTTCTTATGTAACTTTAGGAAAATTCATTTTGTTAGATTCGATGTTACTTTTCTTCACAGTGGCCACAGTTTTCTGCTTTACAAGGTTCCACAACTTTAATTCGAATCCAAACACTAAACACTTCACCAGAAAGTGGTGGAAGTGGTTATTATTGACTGGTTTTTCTATCGGATGCACATGTTCCGTTAAAATGGTTGGTTTATTCGTTACCACCTTAGTTGGAATTTACACCGTTACTGACTTATGGAATAAGTTCGGAGACAAAACCATCTCTTGGAAAAAGTACTCTTATCACTGGATTGCAAGAATTATTGGGCTTATCATAGTTCCGATCATTATCTTTTTAATTAGTTTCAAAGTTCATTTTGATTTATTGTATAAATCAGGTACCGGTGATGCTAATATGTCGTCATTGTTTCAAGCTAATTTAATTGGTTCTGATGTTGTTGGTGGTGCAAGAGAAATTTCTATTGGTCACTCTGTTGTTACATTAAAAAATCAAGGCTTGACTGGTGGATTATTGCATTCACACATCCAGACTTTCCCAGAAGGTTCAAAACAACAACAGGTTACTACTTATACACACAAAGATACTAATAACAACTGGGTCTTCCAAAGAGCAAGAGGTTTAGAACCATATGATACCGAAACTAATCAAGATATTGACTATGTTCTTGACGGTATGGTTGTAAGATTGGTGCATCCAATGACTGGTCGTAACTTGCATACCCATAATATCCCGGCTCCAATCAGCAAGTCAGAATGGGAAGTTGCAGGTTATGGTAACTTGACACTTGGTGATTACAAGGATAATTGGGTTGTTGAAGTTATGGAACAAAGTGGTGATGAAGACAAATTAAGGCTTCATCCATTGACTACTTCATTTAGATTAAGGAACACAGAGTTAGATTGTTACTTAGGTGTATCTGGTAATAATTTGCCTGCCTGGGGTTTCAGACAAGGTGAAGTTGCATGTTATCAGAATCCCTTTAAGAAGGATAAGAGAACTTGGTGGAATATTGAGAACAATGCCAATAAGTTGTTACCTCCTACTCCTCCAGACTTTAAATTACCAAAAACCAGATTCCTTAAGGATTTCATTCAATTAAATTTGGCAATGATGGCCACTAACAATGCGTTGGTTCCAGACAATGACAAGCAAGATGATTTAGCTTCTTCTGCATGGCAATGGCCAACGTTACATGCGGGTATTAGAATGTGTTCTTGGGCTGATGATAAAATCAAATACTTTTTAATTGGTTCTCCTGCTACTACTTGGCCATCTTCCGTGGGGGTCATTCTCTTTGCTTTTATTGTATTATTTTATTTAATTAGATGGCAAAGACAATACAATGACTTCCCATCTTCAGATCAGCAAAAGTTGAAATTGTTCAGTATGGGTGGTATTTACCCAATGTTAGGATGGGGTTTACATTTTATGCCATTTATTATCATGGGTAGAGTTACTTACGTACACCATTACGTTCCAGCACTTTATTTCGCTATGATGATCTTCTGCTATGAGTTGGAATTATTCACCTTACCATTAAGAAATTCTTCATCTTCGCTCCTGAAAATAGCATATGCATTGATTTTTGCAGCATGGTACGCTATTGTTATTGGAGCATTCTGGTACTGGAGACATGTTTCTTTCGGTTTAGAAGGTCCTAAAGAAAACTGGTCCCATTTGGATTTATTACCATCTTGGAGAATTGCAAATGATAACTATTAGGTATAATTGATATGAACACGACCAAAAAAACATTATGCGCTCGTTCCATAGAAATTAAGTATGATCAACATTATTAATACACCCTTTATATACGTTTAAGTCAAATAGATGAAATCGAAGAAAACAGTACAATGATTTCGAGATTGAGATTGATACAGAGAAATGTAGTAGTACCAACTACCAGAAGATTAGTTACTCCAAGCATATCGTATTTGGCTTACAAAGGATATTCAACAGAAGCCGGAACGAAACCTAACTCAACTTCTAAAGCATTCAAGTCTTCGTCTTTTAGTCAACCAAAAGATATTCCAAAACCTTCAAGTAGTCAAGCTCAGTCTCCTGAAGTGCCACAAGAAGATATTAATGATTTTAACATAACAAGGTTAATCCATGGAGATACAGACATGAAGATCGCAATAACTAAAAGGGCCAGTAATAAACTAACCGGTATTGCCGAAGAAGATAAGAACCCAAATACTGCATTAAAAGTTGAGGTTGAGAGTGGTGGGTGCCATGGATTTCAATATAATTTAAAGTTAACTGATTTGACTGAAGAATTAAAGGATGAGAATAACGAACTCTTAGTTTTCAAGAGAATGGGTGATGACGGTGAGATAGCTCAAGTAGTATTAGATGATTCGTCTTTGCAAATTCTTCAAGACTCTAAAGTTGATTATACGAAAGAATTAATAGGTAGTCAGTTTAAAATTGTGGATTCACCTTACACTTCCACAGCTTGTGGATGCGGTGCATCTTTTGATTTTGATTTTGAAAAATTAGAAAGGGTAAAAGAGAAAGAAGCTAATAAGTAATATATAGATTAGACCTTCACATAATAAAAATAATGTACATATGAATGAATATTTATTGAAATGATTAAAATATTATACGTAGATACACATCATAAATACCATATCTTAACGTAAATACACCGTTGACATGTCATTTCAAACCATCAGTTTTCTGTTTTTTTATATAGCTAATACATCTTCTGAAAACATTAGTTTAGTAAATCTTTAATACCTTGAATACTCTTGCTAGCAAAAAATCTGACATCAACATCGTCATCGCCTTGCAATTTCTGTAAGTTTGGCAAAATTTCATTATTAATCAACTTCTGAGTACCACTTTCCTTTGAGCTGACTAAAGTTTCTGCAATTACCAAATAAGATTTTGCAATATTGAACCTAATATTTGGGACGGCGTCATCGATGAAATTATTAATAAAAGGTAATAATTTAGATACTATAATATCATTATTCATAACAGGGATCAATTTTGTAATTGCAAATAAGCATGTTATTCTGATGATGAAATTTGAATAATCAATTTTGTTATCCTCATCTATATTTTCATTTCCGCCGATATTATTATTTAATAATCTACTGACAATTTCATTATCTGCCCAAGCAGATCCAAATATAATAGTAAGTTCTTTCAAAGTATTAACTGCAGCGTCACGAATTGCAAATACTGGGTCCCATAACCATGACATGCATAATGTCAACAACTCATCATTGAAAAATGATTCACCTAATTGATTAGCCAACTTTGGAATATATTCAATTATAGCCAATCTAACTCTCCACTTATTATCTTGAGCTAACTCAGTGATAGCTGGTAACAAATTAATGGACAACAAGTTAATACCAATTATTTCGTTCACAACAGATAAGTTCGAAATTATGTTTAATCTTACTTCCGGGAATTCATCCTTTAACATAACTAAAAATATCGGTAAAAGATTATCTATGGTAGATTGTTTACCTAATATTGGTGATAAATTAGTTATTGACGATGCTAATGATGATCTAACATTCTCATGAGGATCTTGACTCAATTTATTAACAATTGGAATGATCTTATTTAAAATTGCTTGGTTAGTTGATGGGAAATTACTCAATAATTCACAAAATTCAGGCAATTGCTTAGCAATAGCCTTTCTAACTTCACCTTCATTATCATTCATTAAGGAAATAAAAGGATCAATTAACTTTGATAAGTCGTTTTCATCGGTAGCAAAGTTCTTAGCGATCTTGCTAAATCTGTCAGCCGCAGTGTATCTAACTCTCCAGCTTTCGTCATTTATTAATTTCAAAGAACTAATCAAAAATTCCGAGTTATGACTTTGATCATTGACCTTCTGGAAAAAATCTAAAATTGAAATTAAAACATCAATACTTAAAAATTTAACCGAATCTTGTTCATCATTAATAAGGTGTTGGAATAATTGGGAAATAATTTCCCAGTCTTTGTTAGTAACCTTGTCTTCATTGTTAGGATAGTTCTCCGTAAACCAGGTCAATTTATTGATTAAAATTGGTAAATTGTTAGCAGCACTTCTTCTAACCATTGGTGATTCATCACATATCAACTTATAATAAACATTTAACAAGTCCCTTCTAGTGCTAGAGTCAACCTTAATTATAATAGATTTAAATAAACCACAACTAGCTATTTTCTTGGAAAACCAGTTACCTTGGCTCAATGATTGAATCATAGGCAAAAATATTTCCACCAATTGATCATGTGCTAATTCAAGACTGATGTTATTCAATGAATCGATAGCCTTGTCCCTCACAATAGGCTCTTCCATTGATGCCAAAATCAACAAGATTTGAATCAATGGTTCACAGTTTTCACGTCCACCGATTAATGGAACAAAATCACCCAATTTGCTTGCCAAAACGGCAAACACTTCCTCTTCATCGTCTTGAGCCACGTCATTCAAAAATGGTAATAATTCGTTTAATGTCCTTTGGGGTCCCAAAGCAATTGCAATAGTATCTAATTTCTGCATAGCTTCTACTCTGTTCGAAACATCATCATGTTTCAATTCGTCCATTAATAAGGCCAATGGATACAAATCATCGTGACCGCTATCCATTATCGATTGTATTTTTAATTATTCGTTAAATTGTAGGTTTTGATTATAATAAAGTCCATGTTTAATCATGGACTTCTCAATCCTTCGTTCACTCTAAATCTGTGGTATGCGCACGTAAGCTATTATTTTGATTACTTGTCAAAAGTGGTGATGAAATCAATACGTATATATACACTGTTTTGGTGTGGGAATGTTATATATTTCGTCGTAAGAATCTCACACGTTAATGAGTTCTTCTTGATTGATTATTAATGGCAGTAGTATAAATTGATAATCGCTACAATCGCCCAGTGTTTAATATTGCTCAAACATCTAGAAAGTCAATCTGAATGGGTTTGATCCTCTAAATATGCTTATGGAATTATCTTGTGTGTGAATTACAAGAACAGTATAATGCTTAGTTTTAGTTGTTATTCGTTTCATGTGTTCTTGTCTATTTGCTTGCTTGACCAATTGGTTGATAAATCGCGTAAAATATTCTCCACGCAAATACTTCGTAACTGTTTCTTCAAGGGAGCCCATATAGTTGTGGTTGCTGAATAACAGAAAATATACATATATACGTGATGTCACAGCCATCTAAGTTGGACGTTTTAGATTCTCGCTTATCGTCGGACGATGCTGATAAGTTCCTCAACGATTTACGCAAGCAGCAGGAACAGAAACAAGATTATTGGAAATTTGAAATTGTGCCGAATTATTTTAAGCAATCAGATCTGGCGACGGATGAAACCACTTTTAACTACTTGAACGAGCACTTTGGGAGAGTCAAGTCATGGGAGAATGTTTTTGAGAATCTAGACAAGCTCAATGAAGCCGCCGATTCAGACGTATGTTACAAAGTATTTTTCCTAGCTAGACATGGTCAAGGATACCACAACTTGGCTCACGATAAATATGGAAATGATGCATGGAATGACTACTGGTCTAAGATAAATGGAGACGGTGAGATCGTATGGGGTCCAGATCCGGAATTGACCGAGTTGGGTCAGAACCAAGCAAAAGAAAACTACAAGCAGTGGCAGGTCGAACTCAAACATGGGTGTAGATTGCCTACCAGATGGTTTGTTTCACCATTATCTAGATCGATAGACACCCTTACTATAACTTGGGAAAATATAACCAAGTTGGAAGAAGCTCGTCCGTTAATAAAGGAAAACATTAGAGAAACTATCGGTGTGCATACATGCGATAAAAGATCAACCAGAAGTATAATAGATTCTAAATACTCTCCTAAGGGCTATATTATAGAACCTGGTTTTGCTGAAGAAGATGTTTACTTCAAAAAGGATTATCGTGAAACTGTCCGGGAACATGCCATGCGTATCAACGAGTTTTTCCAAGAGATATTCACTTTGAAAGACAATGTTATATGCGTTACAAGTCACTCTGGCTCTATTAGAGCATCATTATTAGTATTGGGACATAGACAATTTAGTGTTGGCACCGGTGGCATGATCCCAGTCTTTGTGAAGGGAACTAAAATAGTTAATAAATAGGACGTATGTTTTAGATTTATTTTTGGAATACATTAATATAAATTAATCCGCGTTACTCATGTCCATCCTTGAACCACGTTTTCAAAGTTCGAAAACCCGACTTCTTACATTACTTCAAACAACAGCGAGATCTCGCGTTAAAGGAACATACTCGGTTAGATCTCTAATATTGATTAATATACTCTAAAAAATTCCCACAGCGCACTTGCATAATAATATTTGCCCGTTGGTAAACAAGTTGAATGCTCCTTAATCGTTAGTGCCAGCTAACACCCTTTAGTTCTTCTTACTCATTACAGCTGTAAACCTGCCAATTTTGCTGGTCCCTTCTGTAAAATGATTCAGGAGTTTTCTCCTTAGAAATAAACAATAGCCTATCGCCGCAGAATATGTCGTTTTTTTTTTTAAGGACTTGTCTCCCCCACCCTACTCAAACCTGCACAATTTCATACACCCATAGTACGTCTGAAATATTCAATAATCCAAACAGGCGCTGAATATGGAATTTTTAAGCACCAGAGCGCATGTCCAATATCATATCTTATAACTAGTAGTCTTGTTGAGAATAAAGTATACCCATACGGGTCTATCTTTACTTGGATATCATGTAGCAAAATTAGTTTTTAATGATCAGAGAAGTAAAGGTGTCCATGTCCATTCACGGACGGAATCTCCTTCACTGTGTATTTTTATGTTTGCATAGTAAATAAGTAGACTATGTGGTCGGTGGATCTTTAGTAAAAGTATTAACACTCGTGTGCGTTTTTATGAGACTGAGTTTCCAATAATGTAATCACATGTACAAAATTACGAGATGATATGTACGATCCTACCAATAACGTTATACGCTCGTGTGACACCAATTAAAAACACTAGCACCTTTCAGACATGACTCGTCTTACTAGCTAATAAACCAATTAATTAGTGGTGGGAGGACCCATGTGGTCTTCTGCAAGCCGCATCTAAAATTAATGCTTTGTTTATATGCAGTACTAGCATCTTATCGAATTTTTAGCCCATGGTATTTCGTTCCTTAGATCCTTTCAACAATAGGCTTATATATATCAGGAGAAAAAGTACAAATAATTAAATCACTAAAGAAATACCTGACGAGTAGATATTCAAGTTGATTTATATATTCATATATATATGAAGTTCGGAAGTAACCTCAACCATCTATCCATAGGGGAGTGGAAATGGTATAATTTAGATTACAACGATTTAAAATATAAGATTCGAATCATAACCCAGGAGGACAACTATTCAATACTGGAATTATGTCAAGATTTCGTTAATAACTTTAACAGAATAAACTTATTTATTGAAACCAAGAATGATGAGTTGATCCGAAAGGTGACATTTTTCGAAGCAAACTTTAACCGCCTTTTGAATGAAACAAATGTTAATGTTATAGTCAAACAGATTAATTTTGACGAAATTTTCTATCAAATGATTGAGATATCGGTTATTTTGAAGAAGCTCTTGAAGTTCATTACAATACAAAAGATAGCATGCCGCAAGATTTTTAAGAAGTTCTTGAAATACCATAAGGACAAAAATGAGGCTGGTCAGTTTGTAGCGAGCTTAAAAAGCAGACTTAACACAAATGAGAGATCATTTATCAACTTCAGTTTAACTGATTTAACAAGTAGATTGACGCTATTATTTAATTCTATCAAGGTTGAGAGAGGCAAATTGTGCCAACTCGTCAACGGAAAATCCCAAATACCGAGGTGTAAGACGACGCCGCTCATAAATTTTTCCCATAATTCTGATGATTTAGAGTTTGACTACAATATACTCCTAAAGAAGAACTTTCTGATGAGTTGCTTAATTTCAACTGATGTAAATAACATAAACGAGTTGTTTTTGAATTTAAACATTTATCTTGGATTCAACAATTGCAATGTTGACAAAGAGCTGACCCAGATTTCGTACACATATTTATTCAACGATCTCATGAACGATGAACCTTGCATTATTATTACACATCAAGAGAAAAAGTATTCTCTCATTATAGCATATGTCGGTGGTTTAAGAAAATATTCTTACTGTCGTATCAAAACCAGTATTGTTGATTCCTTGCTCAAGTATTTGGTTGATCCGTCAAAGAGAGATGTGTTAGATATGTTATCAACATTGTATGATGATAATTTAACTAAGGCAACTTTAGATGGGATTCTTAACAATAAATTGTCTCCTAAGTTAAGACTAATTTGTAATAGATCACGATTTTCTTTGCTGAATGAGAATGATCTTCACCAAGATTCTGACGCATTTCAGGACCCTGAAAATGATTACTTGATTACAGTTGACGAAAATATTTTTACAACAAGCGATATTAATATCGTTTCTAGCACAAGTTTCGATTTTGATCGCTCTCGATTTGAAAAGTTTCCAATCAACAAGTTGTCTCTTTACACAAATGACTTGAATTTATTAAATTTAGAAGACAATTTAACCACGGAAATTAACAATCATAAGATAAGTAATAAGTTTCAAATATCGTATCTTAAAAAGCTACCAACGAGAATTCAAAAATTAATCCAAATTCATTCCCTCAACTTGTTTAAAAATTTGGACTTATACCAATACATGTTGTCATGTTATATGAACATAATACCAAATGACAAGTATATTGATAATCATTATTCAGTCTTGTTAAATCTTGATTTGCTAAAGTCTTTTGAAAATATTGAAAACTATCGTAATACAATAGATATTGAAACAAACCTCATTAATTCTAAATCAGACCAAATCTTACGACACCAATCATCTTTGAAGTCACTTCCTGATTATTATTCCACACGAACGCAACCATCGGAAAGGACTCCGTTGTCTAAATCATATCATATGAGTAGTCTAAGATCAAATAATTCGTCCCAGACTGGCTTATACACTCTTCATAATCTGTATTCTCGTGAAAACTTGAATAACTCATTAACTTCACATACGTCAATTTTGAATAGTGATCCTTCTGACGAATTTGACGTAGATAGTGAATTAGAATACTACAACAATAACAATGTAGTGAGCATGAACTATGAATCGGGTGATTCGGTTATCAATAAAGTTATTTTAGCCATAATACAACTCAAGAGAAAGACTTATGGCGTTTCGCGTGATATTGAAAGCTATGGTAGCACCAATGAATACTACGATACTAACCAAAAGGACCCTTCAATTTTCATTCGATCAAAGTTCAATGAGTATCAGTATCAGTTTGAACGTGACTTCGACAAAATATTGTCATTCTTCTACTTCTCCCTTATTTTTATATCCTTGTTTATATCAGGGATTGAAATAGGCATTATTTACAGCATTATTCTGACCCAGCTGAACTTTGACACATTTCCAATTCTTCAGAATCTATGGCTAATCCTCGTTATAATTATTGGTTTAATGGTGTCCTCCATCTTAAGCTTAATTAGCTTGTTACTCATCTTCAGGAGATTCAATTCTTGCCCCAAATCACATTATCTAGTAATTACTTTCGGGAATTTCCTTATCATTACATCATTTTTTTGGTGTATGTTTATTCTATTCTTTTAGTATGTATATTATTTAATTCAACGTATAATTTATTCTTAGAACAAGCTAGTCAATTCGTATTTTTACTTCATTTCCTTTTAAATCAGTATCGCAACATTTTTTGCAGTAAATGCTCTCACCTCCAAAAAAGAAAGATTCTCCCGGGGTGAGTCGAACACCCGATCTCAAGATTACTTTGAG